ACCCCTGCATAGCTGTTGTAGCTGTAGCTGTGATATCCGCTGTTGGTGCCATAGTCGTCTTGATTATAACCATATCTAAATCTATCTGGCTGATAGATATCAAAATAAAAAAGACGGCTTTTCATTTTCATACAAAAATACTTTTCAAATCATAATTTTCAAATTATTTCTGCTGCTTTTGATATTGCTTAAAGAGCCCTCATAAAAACAGGACCCTAACGTTTTCAATATAAAAAAAGAATCAAAAGGATTTGTCCAAGGTTTTGTCTCAGTTCTAATATCTTGATTTTGTTGTATAAGCCCCAGGGCCTTTACGACTGGACATGTATATTTTTGTGAAGATAAGCAGAAGAGAGCAGAGTGGAGAACAACCCGTTTACAACTATGCACAATACATGTAAAGTCAAAAGCGGCAAAATACTTTTTGAAAGCATTATCTACGCTAAGTGAAATGTTATCCAATTTCCATAGTATTTAAAAAATCATGATAAAAATCGAACCTTTGACCCAGACAAAGATAATTTCCAGAACAATAAGGTAAAAAAGCATGGTCTTCCAGATTGTTTACTTACTCTAAATGCACCATAAGATGATCTTTTGCAGCTAGAATTCACAACATGTATGAACCCTTCAGCAGTCTCTCTCTCTCACCTTTGACCAAGACTTTCCCATAACATGGCGACGGTCAGGAGAGCAGCGAGTAGAATCAACTTCATCTTGGCCTGAAAAGAGATGTCATCTGCGCACTTAAGGAGAAGGAGTTGGATCTTGACGGACGACGAAGTCTGTTAAAACTAAACCAAGGCAGCTATTTTATAACGTGGGAGCACTGCAGCTATCGTTAAATAACGCCTAAGCCAAAGTAAAGCAAAGGACGCATTGAATCAGCTAATGCATGTAAGTCAATCCTCTCTCTCTACTCCCTCCCTCTCAATCACACACACATAAACACGCACGCCTACACACACTCTGTCTCTCAGTGTGTGTTTATGTGTGTTTTGCGAGAGTTCATTATGAAATAAATGCGGCTATGTTCCATTTCCACATAGGTGATGCTTTAATAAACTAGAAGAGATGAATGTTAAACCGCATACTAGCTAAATCTTTTACACATATGGGAATAAACTATCATGAATTAATTAAAGTTTCCATGTATCGAGCTTTCTTAAGTAAGCGGTTACGAAGAAAATGGCCCTTTTGTCTGTTTGGTTTTATTTTTATCTTATATGCTTGAAATGAGGATTGCATAATACACTGCATTTTAAAAATTCATTCCATTCCTGACAATATGAGCGTTTTTACGTCCCTGTGTGAAAGGTGAGAGAAAGAGAGAGAGAGAGAGAGAGAGAGAGAGAGAGAGAGAGAGATTTCGGAGGCGGCCGGTTTACCTGCATTTGTGCCATTTCCATCCAATTCACGTACCGCCATGAAGCTCACAATTGCATAATTGATACCAACCCGTTTAAGCCTATCGTCTGTCATAAATTGTAGTGCTGCAATAAACATTGTCTTTTTAGTTTACCCCAAGCACTTTTTATCTAATGGAACACTCGTAAAATTTCTAGTGCCCTGACCTGAATGAAATGCAACCTTTGTAATAAGAAGACAGACATGATATTTTTTTACGTTTTTTTCATTGGGTATTGTTTATTTTGCAGCATTTATCAAGTTCATTAGCATTGGTTCGTTCCTAATGGTTGCCTTTGAAAAAAGTTAAAAAAGGAAATATGTTTGCTAAAGTAAAATAGTCTCTTTTCTGAGACCTATGGAAATTACCACTCAACTGTTTCTTCTTTGACAGTATGTTATTGTAAGTTTCCATTTCTTGTAACAATGAAGTGAGGCGGCGTTTGGGCACATTCTGTTTCCTTCTCAAATTTCTTTAAAATTCGAAGAGGGACAACAAAGGTATGCGGCAGTGACATAAGTGGGAATTTTGGAGGTCTCTTTGCATTTAAACCATGTATGGGCATTTCAGAAATCACACCCATCTGTTGAAAAATTATATTTTGGTCAATGTTTTGGACGGCATGTTTTATCTTAGTGTGTGTGTGTGTGTGTGTGTTTGTGTGTGTGTGTGTGTGTGTGTGTGAGAGAGAGAGAGAGAGAGAGAGAGCATGGTTGAAGAAACCACACTTACCCATCAAGTTCAGGTGATCATTCTGATTCAATTCATAAAATAATGACTACAGGCGGACGCCCAATGTACGTGTAGTCAGCGGGAGCGCTGGACCTATCTTGAAGGAGGGGAGTGTCGTTAAATAACGCCTCAATCAGATTAAAGCATAGAATGCGTTAAAGTCTGCAAATAAAGAATAACTGTTAATGCATTTTATACAACTGAAGATAGAAACGCTTATACACCTAATTTTTGTGATGATGGAATTGTTATAACACATGCAAGTCAATTCCTCTCTCTCTCCCCTCCCTCCCTCCCTCTCTCTCTCTCTCTAAGTCACACACACATAAACACGCACGCACACACATACACGCTCTGCCTCTCAGTGTGTGTTTTTTTGTGTTTTGCGAGAGTTCATCATCAAATAAATAATAGTAGAGGTGAATGAACCTAAATCGCATACCTGCCCATTTTTCACACATATGGGAATAAACAATCGGCTATAAAAATGTCCCTTTTGTTTGTTTGGTTTTATGTTTTATTTCATATGCTTGGTAGATGATTGCATAATACACTGCATTGAAGGAAAATATTCCTGACAATATGAACGTTTTTTACGTCCCTGAGTGTGTGTGTGTGCGCGCGCGCGCGCGCGCGCGTGTGTGTGTGTGTGTGTGTGTGTGTGTTTGTGTGTGTGTGTGTGTGTGAGAGAGAGAGAGAGAGAGAGAGAAAGAGAAAAAAGACAAAGAGAGAGGTTTCGGAGTCGTCCGCTTCAACTACATTTGTACCATTCTTTTCCATCCAATTCACGTACCGCCTTGAAGCTTACAGTAACATAAAATTTATGCCAACCCGGTTACGCCTATCGTCTGTCATAAATTGCAATGCTGCAATAAACAAAGTCTTTTTAGTTTACCCCTAGCAATTTTTTATCTAATGAAACACTCGTAAAGTTTGTTGTTCTCTGAGCTGAATGACTTGCAACCTTTGTGATGGGAAGACAGACAAGTTATTTTTTTCGTAATTTTCATTGTGTATTGTTTATTTAGCAGCATTCATCAAGTTCATTAGCTGCTTGAAATGAATACACTGGTTCGTTACTATCAGTTGCTTATGAAAAAAACATGTAGATGTGTTTGATAAAGTAAAATAGTCTCTTTTCTAAGACCTTTTGAAAATTACCACTCAACTGCTTCTTTTTTGGCAGCATTTTATTTGAAGTCTCCTTTTCTTGTAACAGTGAAGTAAGACGGCGTTTGGGCACATTATCTACCCTTCTCAAATTTCTTTAGAATTCGTAGAGGGACAACTAAGGTATGCAGCGGTGACTTAAGTGGGGATTTTGGAGGTCTCTTGGCATTTTAAGACATGTATGAAGATTTCAGAAAGTTTACCCATCTCTTGAAAAATTATATTTCTTGCCGATGGTGTCTTATCTAAGGCCACACTTTTTTATTTTTATGGATGACATCCTCTGGGGACCCCAAAATCGGTGCGAGCAGGCGAAAAAAAAAAACAGTCCAAAAAAAAAAAAAACTGCTTAAGAAAAGTTATGTTTTCAGTACACAGTTGGAAACACTAATTTACCACAGAAACACGTATCAAAGTAACAACATGTCTTTATCCATGCTCTCAAAATATTAAAGCATTGTGAAAAGGGCCTACTTCGTAGAAAGGTAAAAAGTCATGAATATATATATGCTGCATATTACCAAATGTATTTAAGGTTATTTCATGCATTCTGTTGGTATAGCAATCAATAAAACAAATATCAAATAAACAGCGTCTTTATTTGTACTCTCAGTAAATTTAAGCATTGTAAACACTTCACAGAATTGTTAAAAATGAAGCAAAGATAGGCCTTTGCTTCCTACTACCAAATCTAAAAATTTCGGTCGATGCCATTTTGTCTTCTTCGACTCACACGTAACAGCCAACTATCGGGTGGCCTGTCCGACCTTCAGTCCACCAAATACCACGACGCTCTTGTCGACCCTTTTTTCGCTACAAAAAAAAAAAAAAAAACCCTGGTAAGTCTNATAGGCCTATGCTTCCTACTACCAAATCTAAAAAAGGTAATTTCGGTCGATGCCATTTTGTCTACTTCGACTCACACGTAGCAGCCAACTATTGGGTGGCCTGTCCGACCTTCAGTCCACCAAATACCAAGACGCTCTTGTCGACCCTTTTTTTGCTACAAAAAAACCCTGGTAAGCCCATGTGCTGCTTTGGACAGAATGTCACTGAAATTTTCCGGGCGATGATTGCTGGCCGCGGCCAGCCTTTCATATAATTGTAAAAAGGTGATATCTCCATGTCCAATATCAATGGCAAACCAATCCAAAACGACGGCCCCCGTTCTCTTTATGACTTTAATTGTCATGTATTTTGAAAGTAATGCTGGAGATGAATTTGACGGCAAAGCGGCCATATTTCCACGTGGTGACAATACGCATGCGCAGAAAGCTCATTTTCCGCACTCGGAACTACTCGGATGTCTCCACAGTCGACAATGACAGCATGGAGCTTGCGGAATTAGCCGAGGATTGCCGATTGCATTTTCCGGCAAATTCAATAACGACGTTTGCGACAACCGACTTCCTTGGGGGGGGATTTTTTTTTTTTTTTTTTTAGGGAGAACGGACGAAAATCGGTGCGCGCGCAGGATGTCATCCATAAAATTAAAAAAGTGTGGCCTTAACTGAAAACCCAAACATATAAACTTTGTTTTTCAAAATGCCTTTCTAAATGCTCCCACAAACACCCTAATAAACAGCCTTCAAAGAACGAATTTTGGCAACCTTAAGCTAATGTAGAAATGAAATCACAAATGACCTTAAAATAACACAAACAATGACCTTGAAATGACCTTGATCTGACCTCAATGACCTACCAAGTTAGGATTTGTCCTTGGTACATTGACACAGGTTCCGTGTCCACAGAGTTCCTGGGCAGAGGCTCCCGTGCAGTCTTGATGGGTCTCTGTACAACGAATTCCACGGTAGTTAGCAGTACAGGTGCACCTGAAATTGGGTCACAAAAATAAAGTTAGCAAAACTAGGTCAACCAATCAAGGTCACCAGAATTAGGTCCGCAGCTACTCATTAACTGAAGCCAGTTTCACAAAACTAATGATATTTTGTGTCCTACTCATAACATATCTAATATGTAGTAACTACCCATAATTTGTCTACTACAATTTCTACAGTACTTGCATTCACTGATATTCTGTCTAAACCAACAGCTTGGTCTCATATGAAACCTCTAGGCACACTGAATGAGATTTTACCAATATAAAGTTGCTTATTGCCACTTTTTGATAATCAACCAAAGAAGATTGGCCTTGGGTTGTGTTATTCACCTGAAGCTTCCAATGGTATTAGTACAGGTGGCCCCATTCTGGCATCCCATGTCAGTTCCAGCCAGTGTGGCACACTCATTGACATCCTCATTACACCGCGTGCCCTGAAATAATGGCAAATAACATGTCATTTGTCACATTTCACATACTTCTTTAAATCTAATTCATTTAAACATTAATTCTTTTTATCTAATTTTAATTCAGTATGAAAAAGATGCCCTTTGTATTTCATTACAATCTAAGTTATTTTATCGAAATTATTATTCATATTAATCAACTTTAGAGCTGCAAATTAACGGTTGAAAATTATTACTTGTCTTCAGTTAAGTCATACAAGATTTTTTGTCCAAAGTATCAATTTTCAATGTAACTTAAATATAGCACACACTCTAACACTATGTTAAGTTTTTTTTCAATATTTATTGAAAACAAAGTACTTCTAAGGCCAGACCACTTAGAGGATCGATTTCAGCCAAATCTGATCAAATAATGGACGCCTCACAGACCACACTCTATTCTGGAAAGTTTTGTCACCACCCACCTGCCATGCAGATGGACATCTACAGGTATAGCCGTTGTATAGGTCCACACATGTGCCGCCATTTTGACAGGGGTTCGACGCACACTCATTCCTGGTCAGTAACTAACATGAATATAATCATGGAAAAACACATTAAGCAAAAGAAATATAAAGCATGTGTGAGGGAGGGGGGGGGGTACTTTGCTGATTGCTAAATTGGTTTTATTTTCTGCTATAAAAATATGAATGAATTCATCTATTCTCATCATCTTATCATGGTGTTGTCACAAGGTTTCTTATTAAATGAAAGCCTAAAATTTACTGAAGTGAAAAGATTTCAACAATCCTTGAATATCATGTACTCCAATTCTCAGCACCTATTATTACTAAAATGAATATTGAGATAGAGGGAAATATTAACCCAAAACAATAAAGTAACAACATATGTACACATTAACAAGCCTTAAGTTTCATTCAGTAATTACAGGCATTACTACCTTCTACAGGTGACAAAGATTTCATCACTTTCTTAATAATTCTATTTCTAGTTTTATTATTAGAACCCACGCAAATGATAAATTTTCATTCATCACAGACACAAAATTACACAGAGCTGTACATTAATACCCTTTCAACATACGTGGCTAAAAAGGAAGCTATTAATTACTTTTGAGTTACCAGTGTATTATTAGCCATGCTATATGTCAATGTCTGAATTTAGTGGTTTATTTTTGCCACATGCTCAGTAGAGATGATGACTTCTATATCATACTATCTATTTACAAGATGTTTACCTAAATTGTCATTCTACTACAAAACAACCTAAATGCAGACAGAAAAATTGTGTTACATGTTAAACTGTTCATACACTTCTGTCAAATTTTTTACGCTAAACTCTCATGCAAAGTATCAAACTACACGTAAAAACTGATTCTTTGTTCTCTTTAATTTTTTTTCTTGTAATGCAGCCATTTAAGCTAACATGCATCATTTGGTCTTGGCAAAATGCATTAAGAAGCAAAAATTACAATTAAAATGTTGCTAAAAGACAAAAACATGTTGATTTCCTTGTCAAAGTAAACAGCCGCGTGGCAGCTGTGACAATCAGTGTGGCCATTTTGTAATAACATTCATATGTAAAAAAACAAAAACAAAATAACATCATGCTCATCATGCTATATATTCAAAATAATAACAGGCAAGGGGCTGAAATAACATACAGACAGAGGCTTATGAAGTATATGATACAGCTGCAAGGCAACTTTTTCAAAAAGCTCAAGTGAAAATAATTGTCCCCACCCCCCTCTCACCCTATTGAGTCGTCTCATCTGTCGCTCTAAGTTTGCTACCTAGAAAGTATAAAATACTGAAAATGAAAATTAGATCAAATGGCTACCACTTACCCTCTGTAGTTGTTGTACTTGTGTTTCTAGAGTGCTCACCTACAATAAAACAGTGTAATTCTGGGTGTATCTTATTCTTAATGACATATTTTAAAGAAAGGTGAGCTTCTCAAAAAGAACTTTATAAAACAGTTTACAAATAATCCATTAATTGTGCACTACAGATAAATCCCTTCATTAAGTGTTGCGAACTTAAATATGTTTATATTAAAATGTTCACTTTAGGTCAATTGTTTTCTATCAAATTAATTACATATTACCAATAACATCAAAAGAATGAAAATGCGATCTGCTAAATTTATTCATTAAAATCAAATTCTGTTTATTGTACACAACTGGATCACACAAATTAAAAGTAACAGACACACACGCATCCAAGTCTTTCTTTTCCTCATTCATCACACATCATAAATACAACCATTCGTACAATGTTGTCATTGTGGATCTTTTTATCAAAGAGATCACTTCTTACACAATACAAGAATATTTCAGCCATTGGTTTCTGCACAAGTCACAATGACAGAGAAAGGTGGATCTGCTGCTTAAACTGAATCTGGCATAAAAATGCTTTAAGGTCCATTATCTTTACATGATTCCTGTGTAAAAGAAAGTTCTAGGATGTGCTTCTGGATTTTAACCAAACCACAAGACAGTTACAAGTTGGTGACATTTATTTAACCACTTATAGAAACAAATACAAACGAAAAAAAAATAGCTGGGTTGGATTTTAAAGAACCCGGTAGTCTGCCATATATACATTACCCTTGCTCTCAGCCTCCGAACTATATAGTTGTTATTGTTATTATTATTAGGTTGGCTCGTTGGACTCGTTGGCATGGGCCTATTTTCTACATCATCTACCTGAAAGTTTTGTAAATCTTTATGTTCAAAATGGTTCATAATTTCTTCAAATCCTGTTTATACTGTTACCTTATAGTGTTGTTAGTATGGTGGCTGTACAACATGCAGTCACATGCACAAGTGGTGAGCTATAGCTTTCTCTTCCTTTCTCCACCTTCTTTCTGGGTTATATACTACTAGGTATTAGTTTAAAATGATACAGCAAACCGTTCCATGCCATTTAGTTCAGTGCTCACATTATAAACTGTACCAAAGTATTGATCCATTGGTACTGTGATGATTTACCATGCATTGTTGTTATAGACGCAGGCGATGATTGTTGTTTAAATCTGCATTATTAAGTACTAAGTTTTTTTGTCATTTTTATCACGTCATTTGACTTCATTGCTGTCCAAGTGATATCATGCATTCAGGATAAGCTGAATTTTACCCTGGTTTTTGATGACAGTTTTAAGGCACACTGAATTTTAATGAATGTAATTTTCACTCCAGGCTCCCAAAGTTCCATCTAAGCAAGGCCATCAGATTATTTTTGGCTCCGAGTCACTATACTTCCCTTGACTACAATCCATCATGAGTAAATCAACACCCTTTTTCTTCACAACATCAATACCCCCCAAAAAAACAATGCAAGGAGTACAGAACTGTGCTGGAAATGTACCTCATCAGTTTGATACACGCATTTCCAAACTTGTGCCCACATGACAACCCAAGCATTCTCCATGACACTTATCCCCCTGTGTTCAGCCTGGGTCATGTTGATCCATACCCTGTACATATACACACTGTGCACCACTGCACATTACCATGACCATGCATATATTATGCAGATGACCCCATTAGCACCTTGATGTCTTGTGACAATAGTATCAATACCAGGACACTGATTTAGCATTCGTTTGCAGGATAACAAGGAATTTGCCTTCCTATCATCTTGTGGTGAATGGTATCTTGTAGGCTAAAGGGATTTAATTCGGCTCTCACATTCACAAACCTGCTGCTCAAAATCACAAATGGCAATTTCAGGAATGATCTTACCCAATCAGAAACTATGTAACAGCTTTCTCATGGACACATGTACACATCTTACCCTATCAGGAACAGTGTTACAGCACTCTCATAGACACATGTACACATCTTACCCTATCAGGAACAGTGTTACAGCACTATCATGGTCACATGCTCACATCTTACCCTATCAGGAACAGTGTTACAGCACTCTCAAGGTCACATGCATACATCTTACCCTATCAGGAACAGTGTTACAGCACTCTCATGGTCACATGCACACATCTTACCCTATCAGGAACAGTGTTACAGCAGTCAGATGGAGATGGAGACCCACTATTACTTTCCAAGTTAGCAACCTGTGAAGTTAGTAGGAAACATGCACATATGTTAGTTCACATGCCACATGCAAATGTTTTGTGCTACATTGGTTCAGATGGTAGTCTTGAATTGTGAAATCCATGCAACGCTTCTATTTTTTGTTGAAAACTGAAAATAAACTTTGCACAGGAATGATGTTATTCTTTAATTAATTTTATAAAACATGCCCTCTTAGTCTACTTAAACATAAGTGTGAGCCTATCAGAAATATGACAAATCATGCTTAGATACATGCATACTTAGTGATGCATTTTTCATTGATGCTTATTTTCATTCCTTTTTCTGCTGGGCAGAATTTTCAATTTGCTCAGCAAATCAGAATTTTTTTATACAGACAACTTTTCAAAATTGCTACATCATGACTTAAAATGCAATATTTGGATGTTTTTTTTTCACTGCCATTCTGTTATCATATCAATACAAAGTGGGTATGCAAGGAAAACATATTTTCATAACAAAAGTAGAAGTCACTAAATAAGCATCACCCCCGACAACAACAAGTAGAACATGAGGACACATCTCTTGCGCATTGTTTTCTGCTCCATGGGCCATGCAGAAAGCAAAGGTTATGAATACAGCTGTTTATGCCTCTTAGGGCACATTGCCATTGAAACTATTGTTCTACATAGATCAATCCAGCTCTTTGGGGGCTCTTGCTGAATAAAATCAGACTGACTGAATGGCATACCTCCTCAAGCAGATATGACCCTAGGTTTAAAAAAAAACCTCTGAACATTTATCATGGGACCCAACACCTAACCTTGACAAATCTCAGGAACCATCAGAATTGAATTAAACAACGCAGAATTCCAGCAGAAAAAGTTCATGTCTGCTCAAGCTAGGGGATGATGAACTTTTGTGTGGGAATGAGTTCTAGAAGCTTTTTCACTTAGTTTTAAGTGCAACCGAATGCACAAGCTTATTCTCCCCTAGCTGCTGAAGTCTAACTGCATTAAGCACGAGTCCCTGGGGAGTTGGATTGATCTATGTATTCAGTTACATTGGGAATAGGCCATTACTAAGATTGTTGCCCACAAGCATTTTACTTTTTTCTTCAAAATTTATTATTCTGAGCTATTATATATAGAAATATTGCATATGACAAAATAACAAGACTGAAATTATTATCCCATTCACTATTAGAGAGTGAAACTACATTTAAGCACTATCAAAATGAACAATAACAGTACAAATATCCAACATACCACTGTCATTTACAAAGTACAATAATTTTTATTAATATTGGGACACATTCTGTAGTACATTATTTATCAACTGACAAAATTAACAATTAACCTTGATATAAGAATTTTGAGTTTTGCCAAAATAATGAAATATCTCTTTTTTCTGAGATGTTTCCAAAGCAGTTATAAAACAGGTGTGTTGTACTCACCCTACTGGAGAGAGCTGTGATTTGTGTGGAGAGAGTATTCAGAGTATTCTGGATCTGGTTGATGGTACTAACACTATTCTCCACATTACTCAGTCTGCTCTGAACAGCTGTGTTCTGAAATAATATGTTACTTTTTACTTGATTTTCTTTCATAATATTAGCACAAAAATATTGCCAATTGCTGAATGTTTTATTTCCAATGATCATTACTTCTTTTAAAAAATCTCTCATCTTAATTCAATCATTAATTTATATATTTTTATCTGTTTATTTCTGTACTGATGTTTCTTTTTGTAACTAATCTCAGAATAAGTTGCTCACCTTGCTGAAAATAAAGCAACATTTCACACAAGACTATAACTATACACAAGCCTACATAAAACTATTAACAGCTGGGTCACAGATGTATTCAAGAAATATTTCTATTCTTGCATTATGTAACCACAGTATTTTAAAACAAGTGTGTGTGTGTGTGTGTGTGTGTGTGTGTGTGTGTGTGGCATGGGATCAGACATGTTTCTAGTCAAGATATGATAAAAGACACTTTGCCTCCAACCAACCCACCCCAGTGCAGTCTACTAGTAAGTGGCTTATTACATGCCATCTCTGTTATTCTAGTCAGGAGTTGTGTATGTTGTAGTTAGGGTTGTCAAGTACACTCTCCTCACAGACCAGACCTCGACTCTGATTGTATTGTGATTGTGACCTCATTCCCATACCTAGATCGATCTAGCAGGATCATTCCATCTCCAAGGGGATTCTCGCTAAATTACACTCAGCCCTTAAGTGGCTTAGAAGTTTGGCAGGCCTTCCGAAGTGGCTTAACGACAGTTAATTACCTCCTAACAGCTTCAGTATGTATATCAGACATCAGAGCCATTTAAAGCTGAGTGTGATTTAGCCAGAATCCCCTCAGAGATGACCGATCCCCCTAGATCAATCTAGATATTGGAATGGGGTCCAAGTCTTGTGAGATTTTTCTCAATGGAAAGGAGCCCTCACTGGCATCAAGAGGCCCAACAGGTGTCTGCCTTCCTTACTCCCAACCCCCAACAGGCATGTCTTGATCCTAAATATCACACCCTGCTGAGCAATCTTAATCATCAAAGGAATTATCCCAGGGATTCAATTAGTGAAACAATAATCACCCTAGGACTTTTAGAATAGGCAAACAGGGCCCTTTCTTTTGAAAAATGGCTGAAGTTGCCCTCTATCCCCCCTTCGTTCCAAACCATATATTTGATGGATATATGCCTATTTGATTTGTGTCTGTACATAAAATGGCAACCCCCCACCATCCCCAGAAAAGGTTCAATTTAAGCCTACAGAATGATGCTTAACGTACAAAACTGGAGACACTTTTCAGAATTTTTATGACAGAGGGCATGATCAGTTGCCCCTTCCAAAATTATTGATCTACCACTGTATACCCACTAATCCCTCCCCCAAACAAAACTCTATTTGTTTTTTGTTTTTTTTTTCTATCACACAAGTCAAGCCGTAGTCAGCAGCTCAGGCTGAAATATACATAACAGATATATATTTACTCAAGCATTGTTCAATATGTAAACTCTCCAGAACAACATTCCAAAATGTCCTAGATCTTTTCATGCCTACGTCATTAAAAAAAACCAGAAAAACAAACACTGACATCCTTCACTGTTTTATTTTGATATTTTGCCATAATAGGGAGGAAGGGGTAAGGAGTCTGGTAATAGATGGTTTCAGTAAGAGGCCAATCACAGAGACTATCCTACTTACTTTGGATTGAACTATCTTCAAGGAGATTCTCACTTAATTGCAATTAACTTGGACGGCTTAGATGTCTGTAACGCCTGCTGAGGCTGATAGGGGGTAATTAATTATAGTTTAGAAGCTTTAGTGGGCGTCCCAGATGTCTAAGCCACTTAACTGGGCTGAAAGCAATTTAGCGAAAGACCCTGTGGAGATGAACCGATCCTGTTAGATCGATCTAGGGATGGGAACCCTGTCTAAGAGTGCATTCCCAGAGATTTAGATTGATCCATCCAGATCGACCTAACTCCCTGAGGGTTCACGCTAAATTGCAGTCAGCCGAGCACTCACGGTAGTTAATTGCCCCCTTACAGCTTTTAGTAGGCGGGACAGACGCTTAAGCCAGTTAAGCTGACAGTAATCTAGTGAGACTCCCCACAGGGATAGATCGATCTTAAATCTGCGGGAATGGGGTCTAAGAAGTCAAATGGAAGGCAAGGAAAGGGCTGTGACCCCAGGAACACTGTTTAACACATGTCTGTACTGGTTCTATAGAGCACCAAGGGGCAGCAGGAGATCTCTGGCTCTCTGGAAACAAACACACTCTGGGTCTGACCTGAGGTGTCTGCTATCTGTCTGTAATAATGTTATTGAAGACAATGGAGACTATAAATATAACCCTTCAGTGTCCTGCCATCAATTACTATCATGGGCAGTTGGACAACAGAACTTCCATTTTCACTATTTTTTTACAATATGTCTTGTTGCCTACTGAAAAACAATTAAATAATTTTTCGTTGGGGGTGTCTCCGAAGGGGGGTGCCACAGGGGGGCATTACCCTTTTAAGCTTTTGCTTTTCTAATTACGCTTTGATCTACAAAGGCAAAAGGAGTGCACCTTGCTCTTCCAAAAGTTCAAAAACTGGCACCAATATATGTGAGGGAGTTAGGTCTTGTCTGGGCCTGCTTTGGTTATGAAATTGCCTCTTGTTTCAGGGCCAAAGTCCAAGAATTTGTGGTGGAGATACAAGTATTTTTTCACTCAATTTTGCCACACCTTTCAACACTTTAGGTGTGCTGTTGTTTCTGTAACCCAGTTCAGGCAGACTGGAATCTGGTCTACATTTAACAGGAGGTTCTTTAAACTGAAATCAGCAAATACAAATATCTTGGTTCAAATGAGGATGAAAAATTGGGCATAATAGGCTCTACGTACAAGCTGCTTTCTAGGTTGTTTCTATAGTGATATCAATGAGGATATTCCAAGGATATTTTAGTAAAGCACTTCTGACACTGACCACAGCAAAACAAAACACTGCTTTCATACCAACTTTGAATGTAACTTAATGAGAACCACGGGGTCCTATATTCTGAATTCTTGTTATTTATTCTGGATTTTCCCCCAATTGAATGGCTATATACCAATCTTGTCAGAAAATATGAAGATTCTTCTGAGACCATAATATCTACAGATTCAATGTTCTCTTCTGGGGTGATCTGACAAATAAAGGCTTCATCACCAAAACACAATATGCTTGTGGCCACCTCACTTTTAATCATAGTTTCCTTGCTGTACTACCTGGCCAGAAATCACTTCTACTGAGAATTGACATTTTAAACTAAAACAGGTTATATTCTAAATACCAACAGTGCATATGCAGACAGCAGGAGCACTGGGTTACTACTCACCTTTCTAACTAAATCCTCTACTTGAGCTTTGTTAATTTTTACCTGAAAAAAATGAAAATAAAATGAAAAATTAAAGTTAAAGGAGACACAGTTTCATTGTACAAATATTCTGTGGTCAATAATATTGCATACTAGTAATTATCTCCTCACTCATGTACTAAATCAGCAAATGTATAGAATTCCCGAGGATAGATTTACCTGTTCACTTTCCCCACTCAAATAAATTAAAATATATTTTGTTCTTGTAACCACTTATCAAGTCATAATTGTTAAAGTTCATAAATTTATCAATGATGTTTGTGTTCAAATATGTCCATCATGTCATGGTACAGAAAGGCACAAAAAGGAGCACAGTCACTGAACCAGCTCATCAAGGGTAGTCAAAGGGTGCTTTCCCAGAGATTTAGATCGATCTAAAGATTAAAATTTAGATCAACCTAACTCCCTGGGGGTTCACACTAAATTGCAGTCAGCCAAGCGGCCACCATAGTTAATTATCCCCTTACAGCTTTTAGTAGGCGGGACAGACGCTTAAGCCGGCCAAGCTGACAGTAATCTAGTGAGACTCCCCACAGGGATAGATCGATCTAAAAATCTATGGAAATGGGGTGAAAATTGTCAACAGTCAAGACTATTAAAAGATTCTTGTATGTGTTCAAATGGTTTAATATCTATACTGTTTCAATGACAGATTGTGACAAGATAAGAAACTGACTAAAAAGATCATCAGAAAGGTAAAGGTATGAGACATGTCCTCGTGGATTATGAAAGGAGTGAAAGTTGCAACCCACACTGATGTTTCATTACACCAGGTTTTTTATTGGGGAGGGGGAGCATGAGGAGAAGAGAAGAAAATAGCTGACAAGGACAACTTTACAGAAACATTTATGGCTCAACAATGGAAAAATTGCTTGGTTTTGGCTGATTTCACTTACAAAAGAAAAGCCCATGCCCACCTCTATTTGCTGCTGTTTCAAACAAAACTATCTTAGTTCTAGTCTATAACTGTAGGAAAAAGGTACTTTGTTGCACCCCCCCTCCCCCACCCACCCTGTCCCCTTTCCAAGTACACCCTGTATCCTCTTGTTAAGTAATAAAAACAGTGAGCAGAGGAGGAGAAAAAAAGAGATTCAATTGCAGGTGACTGAAATGAAAAGTCAACATCCTGTACATATAGCAAACATTTTTCTTTTAATAATTCTGAGCACGACCTCACTAATTCAGGTGGAGTTCATTCACTCAGCATCATTTCTACTGTGCATACAGAAGAGCTCCAGACGCTGGTCGCTTTTTGAGAGAAATGGCAGTCAAGCACCCCTAATCATGATCCAGTGAAAAGAAAGCGTGTTTGCTGTGAGAGTGTTCTGTAAAACCACACAGAGAAATGTGTGTACACATCATCATAACAATACCAGTCCCAGGGTTTAAACCCCACCTCCTGAGCACACTAGCTTACAAATATTGACAAAACTGAAAGATTAAACGGAAGGCAAAAACTAGTGCTACAGTTTTTATTTGATTTATTTGATCTGAATAATAATTTCTGTCTATTGAAATAAAAATTTGATGATTCAGACCATAATTATGCTTTATAAAACTCCTATGATGCTGTGCATTTAGATAACACTACAAACAAAGGAAAACAGAAGGCACTATGACAAGAAAACCTACATTGTAGAGAGAACATTCATCTTATAACTATAATATATATATGTAAATAAGTAGCCATGTGGACCTTACGTTATTCCACACATATTCAATAGGACGTTCACAAAAATTATTTACACAATGGAAATGTTTTGGGTAATCTACACTATATATCTGCCCTCTTGGGGTCTTTATCTATTTTTGTGGAGAGAGAGAGAGAGAAAATTCACATCCAAAATGACTATAATATTAAGAACATTTCCACTTCTAACCTTAGTCTAAGAGTGAGCTTTACTCTATCTGCACCAAGGAGACCTCCATTTTTGTTTTCAGAATACATCTAACTGGTTCTTAAATTAAACCCCTATCTATTACAAATCTTGTTATTTTGTCGGTTCAGATCCTTGAGCAAAACCATAAATATCCTCTCCTTTTACACCCTTGGCATTCTTTCACAAAGTGGAGTCAGGTTCTATTGTCTAACAGCTTCCTCGTGCTTTTTTTCTGGTTCAGTCTTTCCACAGTTGTTTTCATTTAGAAGAGTAACTTTACATAACTGAAACAGGCAGGGGTGCTTTGGTGGGGGTGNTTTATATATAATCAACTATAAAAATTAATGAGATAGGAAAAATATCAATAGAGCAGTGTTAAATGTCCAATTTCTTCCCAGAAGAATTTCATCAGCTGTGTTAAGTTTTAAGAATGATGTGAATTTTTCTTCAGTCAACAGCTAATATGGAGGTAAAACCTATCTCAATATTAGCTGTTGACTGAAGAAAAATTCACATCATTCAAATTTCTTCCATTCTGAGATTCTGAACATAGTGAATGATTGAATCTGACAAACTGCAATGATATGAGTTTATTTCAATTTTTGAAAATTTATTTCACAATACACGATAACAAGTTTACCATAATATATATATAATATATTTTTTTATTTAGACTCGGCTGTCGTACTAACTGCATTACAGACCCTGGGCATTTTGCTAATTGAAAATTGAAAGCTTTATAGTAGTCATATATCTGTTAAGAATGAATAAGGGTAAGCAAGATGGCAATTTAGCTGTAGATAAATACTCACATAACTAATTGGTGAGGTCATTTTAGAGCATTTATTTTCTAAGATACCAAAATAAAGAAAGATGACATTATAACAAGCTAATATATTACTATTAGGCTGTATTCACATGCAAAATTTAAAAAATCCATTGGTGGTATCTAGTGTTCACGGTATGTTTACTCTGTAGCGATATTAATTAGCAGCGTGAGCTAGTCATTTCCAAAGCTGTAATTAATTTGTGCTGCTAGTTATTTATGCCATGGGGTATTCAGCATTAAAACAATAAAGTATAAAATGTACAGCTTGAACATAATGAATAAATGACTCTTAGAATACAGAGCATTTGTAAATATGACCAGTATGGAATGTGCTAGACCAGAACTGCATGTCTGCAACAAAACCAGGGGTACATATTAGCCATGAAAAATAACATTTTGTTCATTTCTAAGACAAATATTTTTTACATATCTTTTTTACTTTCAATTTTATAAAACTAACTGTATTCACAAAATAAGAAATGATAGGAGAAACTCTGTTTTGCTATGCTCCATAAAATACAATTCAACTCATTCAATAGCCATACAGATTTCTTAAAAAATCTTTTTCTGACATTTTTTTGCTACCAACATTTAAATAGTCAAAATGAATAAACTTGAATAATTTACTCTAAATTGTCTTCTCTATCAGAGGTACAAAACTGTACATGACATTGTTTTTTGTTCAAGTATACTGAGTGTTCTTCAGTGTGAAGAATGAACATTTCAACTTCACAAATAACACATCTCCAACAGTGTCAATTATATTATAACATTTATTGTTCTTTCCTCATACTATGAGTAAGAAGAGAAATCCTATGCTTGAGCCCAGTCTTGTTTCCATAAACCCCATGGAAAGAAGTTACAAGTGAACATTAATCTTCTCCAAGTAGGTGGTATTTTCCTTTCTGAAATTAAGAAATATATGTAACATGACATGTTAATCTCATAAAGATTTGTCACTGCTCAATTTGGTTGGTTTTTTTTAATGGGTTTGGTACACTGAAATTGACTAGACAGCAAAGCTGGCAAAGTAGCAAGTGATCCAGTTTTAAGGGATATATAAGCCACTGAAAATGTCAATGTGTGGAAAAAAAATGATATAAAAATAATGACTGCTGTAAATTGTTAACTGATCATGCTGATTTTAAAAAGCAACCTGTTTCTTTACCAAACAAATGTACTTCTTAAAATGATAGTGAAACAAGAATATGGTTTGGTAGGTATGGGGCAAAGGACACCAGCCAAGTCTATCTCCTTTTTTATTATGCCATGTTTTAAGTTAAAAGGGAAAGATGGTATTTCTTCTTGAACTATAACTGTCTTTAATATGATGATTATGTTCTTGCTTTCGTCATTTATGTAAAATATTATATATAAATATATATTTAACAATATAATATGTAAAATTTTATAAAAGTAAAGAAGAGCACAATAATGTGTGAAAATGTATGAGTAATCATGTAACTTAGAATTGAAAGAAATAAATAATTCGGTAAACAAATATCATTGGTCAATTTCAAGTATTATGAAGTTGAAGAAATGGGTGTGACATTATTTTTCCACATGTATAGGTAAAAGTAAATAACTTTTTAAAGAAGGGGTAAATTCGTAAGGTTTTGTTAATGTTTTTTCTTTCTTTTTTGAAGTGTTATTCTCTGAAACTTCTGCACATGTGTTTAGCTATATATGTGGTTGGAAGTACATAGGTTAAATGAAATTTGGAAACAATCTGTCTTATAATCTGTAATATAAATTTAAAGACAATTTTTGGGAAAAGACAAACAGACTGGAAAGTGATCACCAAAATAAGTGGGCAAAACTATAAGTTTAAGATCTGTATGATTAAAGTTTGTGAAGACGAGATCTAAGGCCGAGTCATAATTGGTAGTTGGAGTTGTGACATGTTGTGTAAACATAAGGTCTTGGCACATCATTTTTCTGAGAGCATTTGCATTGTTTTTATGGAGCCAGTTGACATTAAAGTCACCTATAATAACACATTTGTCTGTCTTATCAATAGTGTCAAGAATATTTCTCAAAGCCTCAAGAAGTACCTGCATTTTACCATGAGGAGGTCGGTAAATTGTGATGACAACTAAGTCAGGAAACTGATCCAACCGTGTGACAGTAATCTCAATTCCAGAGAAATTGCAATTTTTTGGAAAATTCTCTGCATATCTATGGTGACTGTAGATAGCAGTACCATGCTGTCTATGAAGAGTACTATCATTTCTGTGAAGATATTTATCTTTTAGCTGGTATTTTGTATTTAGGTCTTTAATTGCAAATCTGGTCTCAGTGAAAGCACATACATCTGCTTTCGCTACATCAAGATTCTCTCTGNACCGATTATGCTGATTTTTGAACTCAACCTGGGTTTTAGCAGGAATGACCATTCCTGTGAGTTAAATGACAATTGGCCTCTCTGTTTTTCTTATATTGTGTTTTCAGTGTTGCAAATATGCTGGAAAAGTGAAAACCAGAACCGCATGTCTTTATCAAAACCAGGGGTTTATAACAGCCATGGAAAATAACATTTTGTTCATTTCTGAGTAAAGACAAATATTTTTATTCCACATCTGTTTTACTTTCAATTTCAGATTAACTATACTCACAAAATAAGAAATGATAGGAGAAACTCTGTTTTGCTATGCTCTATAAAAAACAAACAAAATCATTCAAGCCTTACAAGCCAAAAAATTTTTTGAACAAAATGAATAAACTTGAATAATTTACTTTAATACTTTACTTTAAACTTTAATAATTTAATTAAATAGTCTTGTGAATCAGAGGTACAAAAAGTGGTGTTATTTAAACACTGTACATGACATTATTCCTTGTTTGAGTGTTCTTGAGTGCGAAGAATGAACATTTCAACTTCACAAATGACACATCTCCAACAGTGTCAATTAAATTATATCTTTCTTTGTTCTGTCTTCATTCTAAGAGTAAGAAGAGAAATCCTATCGTAGTCTTGTTTCCATAAACCCCATGGAAAGAAGTTTCAACGGAACATAAATATTCTCCAAGTAGGTGGTATTTTCCTTTCTGAAATTAAGAAAAATATGCAACATGACATATTAATCACATGAAGATTTGTCTTTGCTCAATTTGTTTAGTTTTTTAATGTGTTTGGCATACCGAAACTGATTAGAAAGCAAAGCTGAGAAATATACAGACACCATACAGAAACCAGGTAACTGACAAATGCTGAAACATGACAGCAAAAAGTGCACCAAATAATGTTAAGGTTTTCTTTGATGTTTTGCTATTTAAGACATTAAACATTAAAGTAGCAAGTGATCCAGTTTTACGGGATATATAAGCCACTGAAAATGTCAATGGGTGAAAAAAAAAATGATATAAAAATAATAACTACTGTAAATGTCAACTGATCATGCTGATTTTAGAAAGCAACCTGTTTTTTTTTACCCAACAAATCTTCTCATTAAATTGGTAGTGAAACAAGAATATGGTTTGAACTTGAACTATTTGAACTATAACTGTCTTTAATATGATGATTTTGTTCTTGCTTTCGTCATTTATGTAAAATATGAGATATAAACATATATTTAACAATATAATGTGTATAATTTTATAAAAGTAAAGAAGAGCACACTACTGTGTGAAAATGTATGACTAATTGTGTAACTTAGAATTGAAATAAATAAAATAATTCAGTAAACAAATATTATTTGTCAATTTATAATATTATGAAGTTGAAGAAATGTGGAATTAAGAGTTACACATGGTAATTTGATAATAGTGCTCATTACTATTTTGTGTAAAAAGTAAATAAGTATAACTGATAGAGGAAATGTGGGCGTATTTAGTCCGGTATAATCTGTTGGTTGTTGATGTGTCATATTAACTGGTTTTGAAATGTATTGAGGGACATGTTATATTGGATTTTGACTTTTCAAAACTGAAATGAGTGTGACATTATTTTTCCACATGTATAGGTAGAAGTAAATAAATTTTTTTAAAGATGGGTTAAGGTTTTGTTAATGTAACTTCTGCACATGTGTTTAGCTGTATATGTGGTTGGAAGTACATAAGGTTAAATGAAATTTGGAAGTTAATTTGTTTTATAATCTGTAATAAAAATTTAAAGACAATTTTTGGGAAAAGACAAACAGACTGGAAAGTGATCACCAAAATAAGTGGGAAGAACTATAATTTTAAGATCTGCATGATCAAAGTTTGTGAAGACAAGATCTAAGGCTGAGTCATAAATGGTAGTTTGAGTTGTGACATGTTGTCTAAACATAAGGTCTTGGCACATCATTTTTCTGAGAGCATTTGCATTGTTTTCATGGAGCCAATTGACATTAAAGTCACCTATAATAACACATTTGTCTGTCTTATCAATAGTGTCAAGAATATTTCTCAAAGCCTCAAGAAGAACCTGCATTTTACCATGAGGAGGTCGGTAAATTGTGATGACAACAAAGTCAGGAAACTGATCTAATCGTGTGTCAGTAATCTCAATTCCAGAAAAGTTGTAATTTTTTGGAAAATTCTCTGCATATCTATGGTGACTGTAGATAGCAGTACCATGCTGTCTATGAAGAGTACTATCATTTCTGTGAAGATATTTATCTTTTAACTGGTATTTTGTATTTAGGTCTTTAATTGCAAATCTGGTCTCTGTGAAAGCACATACATCTGCTTTTGCTACATCAAAATTCTTTCTGATATCGTCAATGTATTTGTGAAGAGAACAGCAATTCCAATGGATTATTTTGAAGTGGTCATCTGGTTGTTCATATAGAAATGATATTGATTTTACAAGCTGTGCTTCTTGCCTTAAACGTTTCATTTCTTGTTTAACTTTGTCAGAAATGCATATTTTACTGGCATTTAATTCCAAAATATGCAATCCTTCTAATTTTTCTACACGACTAAGTGCAACATAATGCATGTGCTCATTTTTTCTGCCACTGAGATCTACAACTAATTCTTTCAATGTGTCACCTTGACATCTGTGTATAGTTTTTGCAGCAGACAACTGCAGTGGGAATTGTTTTCTTACGACTTGATACTGTCCTGTTTTTCCCAGGTGAAATTGTCTTTTAACAGGAAAGATAGGTGTCCATGTTTTTGAAATGTTGCTATTATATAATGATTTGTTCATTCTTCTGACATTTTTGCCAATGTCCTCTGCATCAAATTGTACCCAAATTAATTGTCTGTCTAAATCTACCAGTTTCACAACATTTGGTGCACCATTAGTAATGCCATCTTCTGTGTCAACATTTAGGACAACTTCAGTTCTTTCCCCAACTGCAATATGTAGAATCCTTCGTAAATTCATGGTTTTTTTATGATCCAATGGAATTTGCTTTTTGATGTTGTTTTCTAAATGTTTTGGTACAGGCCCAGTGATAGTATCAGTGGCTGCAATTTGAAATTTTTCTCCTTTCGCATTTTGATAACTTGCATGATTGAAATTTTCTACCAGAGAATTTGTTTGGAAAACATGTAGTAATGGTTTTTGGCTAGTTTTTGATTGATCAAGTTGGCGTTCACTTAGAACCTTAATGTCTTTGTCTGTGTGATGTCCTTCTCTAAGCCTATTTAAAATTTCTGCAAACTCTTTACTGTCTTTTTGACGCATGATCTCAGTCAGTTCATACATGTGAAAATGTTTCTGCCACAAATTAGTAGCTAATGGATAATAGTCATTGTTTGGATTTTCAAATATCCAGTTATCAAACACAGGCTTCAGTTGAAATAGGTCACCTATAGCCACAATGCTAACACCTCCAAACAATCTGTCATTGTTTTTTAATTCTTTTAACCGTTCATTGATGAAACTTAACATTTTACTCCCAACCATTGAAACTTCATCAATAAAGAGAACTTTAAGTGATCCAAGTTTGTATCTGAAACTGTTTAACACATCAGCACTGAGTCTTTTATATCTGAGACTTTGATTTGCAGGAATTTTCAGTAAACTGTGAATTGTGTGGCCACCAATATTATAAGCAGCTTTTCCTGTAGGAGCAACCAAAGCAACTCTAATTGTCCGGAAGTCTTCACCAGGTAAACTTGACAAGTACTTTAAAATACCTTGATACAGAGCGCGAGTGACAAATGATTTCCCCACACCAGCACCTCCAGACAGGAATATGTGAAACGGATCAGAATTGGATTTGATTAAATGTAAAACATGATGGAAAAACTCGAACTGTTGTCTGTTCATGTTTCTAATCATTTTACAGTAACTGATATCAGGTATTTCTTTATTAACAATTTCTTCTTCAATGCAACTTTTGGCAGATACATGTATACCCAAATCTTCTGCTAAGTCATAGGACAGACCAACAGAAGATTGTACCACATCACTAGTTTCACACTGATCAACTTCATTTTGACACTCAGTATTTGGTGCAACAGTGGCCCACATATCTTCATCTTCACTATCCATGTTATTTAGATCTTCCATTGCTCTGTGCAATTCATCTTTAGCTGGAGAATACATTCTCTGTTGTTCCCAAATCTCATTTTCTAAATGTTGACATCTCTGTTCGTAACTTTCAAAATTTTGCAAAATGTCAGATTCTTCATTTCTCCATGGTATATACAACATCAATAGCTCACGATAATGCTTTTCAGGATATAAACTCTCACTGAACCAAACACTGCGAATAATTTTTGCTTTTTTTCGTTTAATAATGTCTGTTTCACATGTAATATCATGAATATCATCCTCAAAATTTTCAAGGTCATGCTTTTCCAATGGCATACCATCTGTATCTAATAATCTAGAAGATCTTTTCTTGCTTCCGCCAATTATGTTCAAATTGTTGTCATAATATGCAGCAAAATCTGCAAGGGAAACATTGTCCAAGGAAGGTAAGCGCCTGCTATAACGTTTCAAAAGGTTGCTGGACTCAATATTGTCAGATTCATCTTCTAATTCTTTTATTTCTTCCAGTGGCTTAAGTAATCGTACTCTGTCTTCAGGGGGTGTAGTGTTAATGAATACAAATGATCGAGATGCTCTTCTCATGGGTAACTGTAAAGTGATGTAGGAAGCTTCTTGAGCAGAAATTTCAACATTATTAAGAAATTTGTTTCCAATGTGACGGACCTGCTGTTTTATGTCACTGTTACCTTCTCTAGCTTCTTTGCAAGCTTGATAAAGTAAATCTGACATGCCTCTTTGTCCTTTAGAAATGTAATTTACAATATATGTTGCACAAGCATAGATGTCTAAAACAAACTGAATATCCATATTTGCTCTCCATGCTTGTAAACATGACCTGGAATAATTGTTTATCCAAATTTCACAGGGCAGTCTTTTTAAGAACAAAGTATCAGTTTTGATTGTAGATCTCACTGCCAAAATGTAATCTTCTTCTGAGACTTGTACTTTATTTAAAAATTCTTCAAATGTTAGACTAACACATGTAAAATTTTTGTCATTTATAATATTATGAATCTTTGTCCAAACTTGTGCATATTCTTTCTTCTGTGAAGTATCTTCAAGGGGTTTCAGAATAATACTTTTTTTCATCGGAGGCTGTGGAAAATGGAATCTGCAAGATTTTTTCAAATTCTTTATACATGTCCTTGTATGTTTGTGTGTCTGATAAGATACAAGTTCTTTTATTGGATCATCTTCATTTGGTTTGCTACAGCAAATTGTGCTATCAACAAATTGTATGATGTCTTCATTAGAATTGACACCATAAATAGGTGCATTTTCTATCCAAAGCAGCATGTGAATATGTGGACTACCTCTGTGTTGAAATTCTACACGGTAAAAAAAATCTTGTATTTTACCTAATGGTGCTACTTTGTGGCACAAAAAGTGATGTATCAAACACTGGACTTGATAATCAAAATGCCGTGCACAAGTAATGGGATCACTCTGAATCAAGCGACATTTTTCATCCCAGCTTAGCTGTTCTAACTCTGATTCTGAGTAATGTCTATTATCTACTAATTGACCAAGAGTTCCAAGTAAATGATTCCATTTTGTTTCAGCAGAAGAAAAACTGCAGAAAAAAGTTGCTGCTCCTAGCTGACGTATCATTGCAAATAAATCTTTTTTTGCTTTCTCAAAATATGGGGGGGAACCACGTACTCCTTTTAGGAATGTATAACCTTCATCAAAATGTAAAAGTTTCTCAATGGCTCCAGACTGTTTCAAATCTCCTGCAGTGAGTTTCTTTCCACTAGTTTTATGTTTTCTTACAGCAAGAGAAGCTGACCCAATCAATCTTTTCATCTGTAGTTTTTTTGCTTTAAAAAATATGTTGTCAACACACATTGCTGCTCTTCTGTCATTGCGTCTTAATTCCGACTTGCAAATGTCACTGTAGTGTACAGGGACAAGTCTGTTTTGATTTGCAGGCCTTGCATTGCCAAGAAATATTTCAGGAAAGGCCAGTTCCTCACAGTGTTCATCTCTGAATATGCTGAGTGGATGACCTTCTTGACCAGGTGCAAAAGAGTAAATTTTCTCTCTCTCTGTGTCTTCTAAGAAGTCTCTACCTGTTAACATTGTATCTCTTATACCAGGTTTCATTTCTTCCTCATCAATTTCGTCCCAATCTGTAATATCATTTGCCTGTAAGTATTTACTTATATCTGATTTAGCTCGTGTTACCTGCTTTGTTTGCAGCAAGTTCTTGCTTAGGCTATCAGCAGACAATGATGAGTCGCATACACTCTGCACGATATCATAGTGATCAGAGTTTGTATTTTGCAGGTAAATAGCTGTCTCGTGTGAATGATTGTTCTGGTCAAGAAAGTTAGCAGAATACTTTAACCATTTCCAAGAGTCACCAGGCTTGCAGTAGACATAGATGTCCGTTTGTAGCAGATGTGCTGCAGCAAGTATTTCTGTTTCAGTACCCCAAACATTTACACTATCCATGCCTGTTCGTCTAATATAATTTGCTGAGGTGCTGTCATTATCACCTAACATACCACTTGCAAAAGCATACTCAAGCTGCTTCATATGACTGACGATTTTGTTTCTAAGTATAATGTGATTATTATCATACAACATGTCAGAACCAGTGATGGTAAAAGACAAACTTCGAAAAAAACAATTTCCATCTCCAATAACTTTCTTCAACTGCCTAGGATTTGTCAAAAGAATATTACTACCAGTTTCAGGCCAATTGTGTGGACGCTTTAATGGTAAGTTTAGTTTCTCGGTTATTTTCTCTTGCCAGAGGGCATCTACAGGCATAAAATGAAATGAAGTATTGTCAGTTCGTAGGTGTTGTACCTCATTTTCAGATTCACAATATGTAGGTAATATATGTCTTTGCTGTAAGTATGATAACTCCTTTTGCAAGTGTGAAATATTTCTTACTCTGTGTCGAATTTTCTTTACAGTTCTGAAGTATCTTGAGTACCATGTTCTTCCTTGTTTTTTTCTTTTAAACAAACCATAATAACTCAGTTTCAAATGTTTATATTTTCTTAGAATATGGTGGCGCTCATAAGCAATGAGTTTTTCAATTCGTTCTCTACTAGAAGATCTGATTGTATTTATCTTCTTGCGATATCTTGATCTGCCTCTCTCTTGTGATTTGAATGCAGGTACACCTAAAACGTGTGGTCGTTTTGAAGAACCAGTACTTTTTCTTTCACTTTGAATAGTAGCCACAAATTTGTCAACATCAACAGATGGATCATATTTATAAGGCTTGTCTAAAATGACATAGAATTCATCCGCAAAATCACCATCCTGATCCATAAGGTGCCCTTCTTCAGAAAATTGAATGTTTTTACAATTAGCAGGGCATTCAACACAAACATATTCTCTCAGTAAGTTTTGTATTTGTTCCTCACTCAAGTTACAAATAGTTGTATGCTCTTTTTTTGTTTGTTCAAATGTGTCAGAGCTGCAAGGATTTTCTTCTAATTTCCATGTTGTGTCTACAGTTATTCCCTTTTCTTGATATAATTTTCCATTTGCAGTTAACCAAGCAGCAGCCTCAAGTACTTTGTTAGGTCTTACATTCTGAGCATATGCATAATTTTTAAATTTCACATTTCTTTTGAGCTGAACTTTAATTGTAGAACTATCTGCCTCAGTTCTTGGTAACTTTGTAACAGTCGATGTCACATCTGCTGGTATATTTACAACATTTCCTTCTAATTTGTATTGTTTTCCACGTGGAGCTTGTTGAAGCTTCATGAAAACTAACCTTGGGCTAGTTAATCTCCACTCTAAAGGTTTTAAATCCAAGAAGCTGGGTTTTTCTGGAAACGACAGGCCATTCACCATAGCGCATGGAGGAATTTTGTTCTTTTTCAAATGAGAAGAGCATGTTAAACATATCCAATTACTGTCAAATAAATCACCAGTTTCTTTGCAATGCTTAACTGCATTATTTTCTAAATTCATGATAGACTCTGAATTTATCACAGTATGCCTGTACCAAAGTTGTTGACATATACAACATGTGTAAGTACAACCTTCAGCAACTTTTTTGTGGAATTGTTGTATTAACTGTTGAAGATTGGTATTGATTTTCTGTCTCTTATTACGTTTAGCAAATGAATCAGATTTTCTTTCGTGTTTTCTGAATTCGGGATCAGATCTTTTTAACCTTTTTTTACTTCTCTCAGTTACTTTGTAATAAGGATCAGACCTTTTCAAGTGTTTGTGTTTCAGAATTTTTGTCTTCACATCATACTGAGAGCGTTTTAGTCTCTGAGATTCTTGTTCCTTTTTCCTATACTGTGAATCAGACCTTTTCAACTGATTGTACTTTAAAATTTTGCTCTTCTCATCAACCTGAGAACGTTTTAGTCTCTGAGATTCTTGTTCGTACTTCCTGAACTGTGGATCAGACCTTTTCAACTGATTGTACTTTAAAATTTTGCTCTTCTCATCCACGTGAGAACGTTTTAGTCTCTGAGATTCTTGTTCACCTTTCCTATACTGTGGATCAGACCTTTTCAACTGATTGTACTTTAAAATTTTGCTCTTCTCATCCACCTGAGAACGTTTTAGTCTCTGAGATTCTTGTTCACCTTTCCTATACTGTGGATCAGACCTTTTCAACTGATTGTACTTTAAAATTTTGCTCTTCTCATCCACCTGAGAACGTTTTAGTCTCTGAGATTCTTGTTCGCGCTTCCTGAACTGTGGATCAGACCTTTTCAACTGTTTGTGCTTTAAAATTTTGCTCTTCTCATCGACCTGAGAACGTTTTAGTCTCTGAGATTGTTGTTCGTTTTTTCTGTACTCTGGATCAGACCTTTTCAATTGTCTGTGTTTTTGAATTTTCCTTTTCACATGGGACTGAGAACGTGTTACTCTTTGAGCATTTTGTTCAGCTTTTCTGTACTGTGGATCAGATCTAAGAAGTTGCATTCTGATTTTATTTTTCTCTCTTTTCAAAATATTTCTGCCAGTGCTACTGGTTCCTGTAAGTGAGGTATCCAAAAGAGTTTTATTCACAGCGTCAATTTTGCTTTGTTGTTTGTCTTCTGTCCATTTTAACTGCCTCTTCATTTCATCATGTAGTCTTTTCAAATGGGGTTTGTGCAACTGTGTTTTATCAAAAATGGATGAAATAGAATCAGAGGTAATGGTATTACCAGTGTTTTTTGTTAATGGTACCTTCTTCATTGAACCCATTTTTGAATAGTGAACACTTTTTTCTAAAGGTTTTAAGGATGTTTTTAATGTTACCATATTAGGTTCATTTTTTTGAATTTCAGGGAAAACTACTGATTGTTGTGATTTTTTCTTTAATTTATGGGATACCGTTGATAGCTTTGGGTTAACTGGCATGTTAGATTTTACAGACATATCTGATGGTGAAAAATGGTCTGAATATATTATAGACTTACTTGAATGACCAGGGGCATCAGTGGCACTCAAACTGACAGGATAGGCTGTGTCAACTGTAGCATCTGTCTCATCTGAAGCATCTGTATAAGCTGCATGAACAGTAACATCTGAAGCAATGGGAATGTCAGTGTGCTCAGGAAATTCAGTGTTTTCAGTAATTTCACTGTTTTTTTCAGTAATTTCACTGCTTCTATCAGTAATTTCACTGCTTTTATCAGTAATTTCACTGCTTTTATCAGTAATTTCACAGTTTTTCACAGAGCCCACCGAGGTGGGCGTGCCTGCTAAAGCAGGCACAATAGTAGATGTGGCAGCCTCAGGCACCCTCTTTCGACTTCTCTTGATGCTTTTCTTCTGATGTGCCCTTCTTTGGGCCATGCTTTGTTTTTTCAGGCGAGGCATCTAGAAATATATATATATAAAAAATATTATATTTATTGGCTAAAAGTTATACATATCATTGAAAATAATTGAAAGGGGCAAACTATAATAGAAACTGAGAGAGTTGTTAACAGTTTCTTTTGAGTGCAACTGCTTAAGAGGCCCTTAACAAACAACCAAGACTAACAAGTGCACCGAAAATAAAACATTATCAAACAAAAACATTATTTACTGATATGTTGATTCTGTAATTAAAGGTAAATGCCGTTGGAGTGTGGATCCCCAGTAATACATGTAATCCACCTCTACTAGTTACTTGTATAACAGAAATGAAGTTGACATGCCAATGGACAAAACAAATTAATCACTTCATCAACCATAAAAGAGCCTTAGGCATCATTCACATGCAATGTCTATTTTCTAAATTCTATTTTCTATTTGCGGTATCATCGCCGGTATGTCTTATGATCACGGTCTGTGCCCTGGCGTAATTACTGGCAGCGTGAGCCAGTTACTTTAAGTTACTATAAGTAACTGGCTCACGCTGCCAGTAATTACGCAGCAGGATATTCAGGGCACAGACCGTGATCATAAGATCACGAATAGAAAATAGATTTTTAGAAAATAGACATTCCATGTGAACGAAGCCTAAAACTAACTCATTAAATTGATGGTTAATTTGGACTACTTACTTATCTAACATACTAATATTTATCAGTCTCATTTATAAAAAGCAGAGAAAGCAGACAGAAGAATGTATTCATATATGCCTTTTGGTGTTGTTTTACAAAATGCTAGTTAATTATAACAGGTGGTATTCAGGACACAGACCATGACTACTAGAAATCGCCAGTGGATTTTTGGAATTTGGATTTTTAATGAGAACGGTGCCTTAGATACAATGTTTTATTCCATTTTAAATAAATCAGAATAATCTAATATTGGATTCCTTGCAAAGCATAATATTTGTTGTGCCCATCATATTACTGTCATTACAGATTACACAACTACACATAATATTAATAATAATAATAATAATAATAATAGCCCAGTTTCTACTTCCAGCATCGAGCTGGTTTATATTGAGTCTGGTAGTTTTATTTGTCTTAAGATGACAAAGCTCAGAAATGTTAATTAAGGGCATCAGGTATGCTAAGAAAAAAACTATTATTTAAGTATTTATTTGTTAAGTTATTTAGGTTAAATTGAAAAAGAAAAGACTTCAGAAGAAAATAGGACCTTTGGAACATGTTCAGACCTGCTTAAAGCTACTCTTTTTAAATATGAATTGATTTGTTATTATCAAGTTGTCAGAAAATAAGTGAAATTAGTAAGCCACAGCTACTGAAAAAGAAGTGCAATAATACATAACACTTCATTATATACAGAATATCTGTAAATACCTGGATGGATTTTTTACAAGGTAACTAAATTACAACCTAATTGCTATCGGCTTCCCAAACAGGTATACTAAAGAACAAAACAAGGATAAGGAAACTTGGTACATTTGATAAATGTAAGTACTTATTACTTAAAATTCCAAGATTGCTGCACAGAAGTTATAAAAGGTGAAGAACAGTTACAAAAAAAAAAACTACTTGTATGGGTTATTAAATGAACATTGATCCATCCATTAAGAAATATTCACATTGTTGATCTCCTTATGATCGTAAACATTGTAATTAATCTTCAAAGGGAATATTCATAATAAGTTATCTGTAGCTGACTTGGATAAATGCTGGGGAGTCTCTGCTTGGAAGCTTAATTCATTTATTAACCAAACAGTACCTTTTTATATGGAGAGGGAAAAATAACTGGTCTCGTCTGTAAGATGCTCAAGTGTGGTATTGATGGTTACCGTTAACAAGCATATTATGATGTAAATGCACACTAAATTAAAATGATATTTTTATTTATAAAAGGGCTGCTACTAGTAACTCATTCCCTCTGTAGGGATCTAGGTAATACTCTGTAGGTGATACTCTTCAGGAGCGGATTTAGGCCGTCTTCTGGAAGACAGTCAGATTTTCAAGTTTACATTGATGGGTATCTAATTTTTTCTGTTGGAAGACGGTCAAAATTGGAAGATGGATCAATAAAAATAATGTGGAAGACTGTCACAAAATATCTCTGGATCCGCCCCTGCTCTTAGCACAACAGTGTTCAATATGCTCATTGATGCTCTGGGTGACAAATTAATTCAGCCCAACACTAATCTGGTCCCCATTTCTGCACCAAACACCTGTAAATTGCACATTTTTTACAGATGAACTAATTAAGGGTCTATTATGTATTCAAAAGCAACCTTCAAATGTGAACAATCAGTCATGAGCAAAAATGGTGCAAATGTTTTTTTAGCCTTTTCTCATATTTGGAGAAACCAAACAGTGGATACTGACATTTCAGATTTTAGGAAAGTATACAACAGTATCATATTTCAGTAATAAAAATTGCCATAAAGGCTTGATGTTTCAAAATAACCAACCCACATATTGCCAACAATTAAGTATCTACCTATCAAAAAAAATATTGCCTTGGTATGTACTTGCCTGCTAGTAGCTATCTATATAAAGTACACATAACTGGTAGTTAGATGATCTTGAGACTTAAATAACAAGTATCTAAAACAATACTTACATTCTATTGCCACACTAATTATCCGGACAAGGTGCAATTGACTGAGTGGGTAACTGACTGACTGAGTAACTTCAACTGGGAACTGGAAGAAATAGAATATTATATAAACTCAATTGACTATTATTTAATCTAGCATTGATGCTCTTTATATCACAAACATATTCCTTTACTTTTGATCAGCTCCACATTGTTGAGAAGAAACTATGGTTACTCAAAAAATATATAGCATATAATAATAATAATAATAATAATATTTATTTACAGTCTAAAATCCATATATAAAATGTTCCGCAGATTTTACAGGGGTAAAATGAACAGAATATGATCAATAGAGTCAATAATAAAAAATAGACAGTTGAGATATAAACTTTAAGATATTGAAATATATGGTGCAATGTAAATAAATATATACTGTAGCAGTAGGACACATACTGTTAGGATTTAGGTGTGATTTGAAACGTCATGGATTCTTTGGTACGTCCGCGTCACGAAATAGCGCCAAAAAAGTGGCGCGATGAAAAATGCGTACCTCTGAAATAAATAAACTTTGCGAAAAAACTACAGTGAATTGACTTTTCATAATTTTGAGACTAGACGAAGAGTTTTCTGTCTTTTGAAATACTGTAAGCTTTCATCAAAGCACTGTACAAAATTACAGTTATTTCTCTCCGAATCCAGAAAACTGAAAATTTTATGTGTCCGAAAATGCTTTTGTATAGCGAGGGACTATATTGCGAGGAAATTGTTTCCAAACACGAAATTGGCTTAAAATCAATAAAATGGTCGAATATATATCCAGGTTTTTTTCGATTTTGAAGGGAATTTCCCGCACACTCTCTGGTTAAGAAGTCTCGACAGAAAATCCAAAAAGTTGTGAAAAAAAGGTGCAAAATTCTTCCCCTGAGGCACCTCCGATAAGAGTGCATATCTCATTTATTTCCCGAACTTAAAATTACGTTTATTCATCCAAAAAAGTTAGTGACTAACCTCAATTTTCACTCAAAGCAATGATGTTCCATAACTTGCTACAACAGCATTTTTTGACTTTGAACTGTGGAAGTTCAAAAAAGTCATGTGATACAAAACATGTGACGCACAGATTTGGGTGCTAAAATGCACCTTTATAGACCCATATTAAGTCAAATATAAATTTAAGAAACAGAATAAACATTTCTTTTATCAAAGACCAAAAACTTAATACAAATTTAGTAAATTTACCGAAATCCCGCCCACTAAACGAGAGGTGTACTGAGGTGCTTTCCAACGAAACCCCGCAATTTATTACGAGGCAGTGACAGGTGAAGTAGGTTGTGCGGCAAGTTATGATTTTTATCCTTGCTGAAATATGGAACCCACATATTTATAGCATGTCAGAGACTTATTATCAGGTACGTATGCATTTTATTTAGATTGTAAAATATATATAAATGCTTTTAATTACAAGAAATGTGCTAGTTTCGTTCCACTACGAACTGTACATAATCAAACACATTTGTTATACATTGTATCTTGTTGTTAAAATGTGCACCGTGTGACCGACGCAAGCTCATTCAGAGTAATCCAACTACAGTTCCTTTTTAAGATTAACTTTTAATCTAGTGTTATTTAGAATACTAGTGTTACATAACAGCATGTGCTTTAATTAGTACGTACGTGTACTGCAGCTGTATAACGTAGCATTGCGAGCACCTGTCATGTGAAGCATAGATAATGTGCTTGTATATATTGATTGAATTATGAATACATCACCTTTTATTTGTAATAATTAGCAATAGATAAGGGGGTATTTGGCAAGATTTCACATTGCTCTTGTCTTTTTTCAGGCTGAATGAAATTTTTAAAAAAACTTTTTAACATTGATTTAAGAAAAAGATGTTCCGATATAGAATGATATAAGTATTTATGTAAAATGAGTTTTTTTTTATGATCAGTTAACCTCATTTTCAGTATATAGGTCCATTTGAAAGTGTAGGATTTTTTTTTTTATAAATGTTGAAAAATGTTAAATCCATGACTTGCTAGTACAGGTACAGCTATGAGAATGAAGGTTGAGCCTATTTTGGTACCAAAAGTTTTTTTAATGACCTTTTGAATAATATTTACACATTATTAACACTAATAAAAATCAGGTTATTAGGAGATGTAAATTTATTTTACTGACACATTTTGTCATCAATCTCCAGCATATTTTTTTACCATTCCTGGTAACAGTGGTTTTGCAAATTACTTTCTATGAGAATTCAGTTTTGCTGTGTTTTGTCTAAAACATCTGACTCTGTCCTGTCATTCATTCTCTTGCTAATAATGGATTTACTAAATTGAAGACTTTATTAATGGCTAAAATGTAACAAAAAATGAAAAATAATGACATGCACCAACAAACTTAACAAAGGTTTTTCAATTTTTTATAAATCTGGCCATACCATGTAGGTAGCCACTAGCTATTAATTGAGTTATTTGAAATAAACGCTCAAGACGTATTGAATTTCTGAGACACTAATACACTATACTCACTTCCTGATGAAATTGTAAATTTTCTACTTGAGTAAAAAAAATGTAGGTTGATTGGAGAATGTTATATGGTTCTGTAATCAACAGTAAGGAAGGTTTAAAATATAATCCATTTATGTTTCCTGTGTTAAAACAGATAAAGCCAGTAATTATTATTTTATTATGCGAGTTCCTAAACTTGTGTTGTTAGGTACCACTTAGAAAATCTTCTGTTACTTTCTCACTTTTAATCAAATTTAGAAAAAAGTTAAATGGACCTTTATATTGTGAATGTGTGTAAACAGATTGTTTTTACTTTAAGTTGCATGGAATTGTAAATTCTGAATTTATTCTCATTTTCTTTTCCAGGTAAAAAGAAGAAAGTCAGGCTTTGAAGTGCCCTGAAAACTGATCATGATGATATGCTGCATCATTATCATGCATTCCTATGAGTTACATTAAAATAACTGTCACCAAGCCCTTAGTGAAAATTGGATATCAAAGTATTCATTGACAGGACTTTTTGAAAACATAAATATAGATTTTTTAAAAAAGAAATACAGCTTCTGTGGTATTTCTGTAAGATAATTGGATGGTAGTGTTGCAAACAAGTATTATTATGGACTCATTTTTTCTAATTGGATTACTAGGAACCAGCTAATTCACATTCAAACAAGAATTTAAAAAGAAAAAAGGATCCCAAAATAATAAAAGAGGTATTTTGAAGATATTTACACTCTACATTCATTTGTACCCAGTATGTAATGACTGGTGTTCACAAAAAGCATGTTACACATTCCCATATTTTTGTATCAGATATCGAATACAAGCATATGGAACTGTTTTGAATAAAGACATAAATTGCCCTTGGTGATCAGCATATTTTCCTCTTAGTCTTAAAAGGATAGCTAATGTATTTTGAGATAATGCATTTGAAGACAGAAAATGTATGAAAATTTCTTCAGCAAAAAGAAAAAAAGGAAAGTTATTAAGTCCAACCTAGTGCAATGAAAGTGAAATTTTTTGATTAATAATGAAATTTTTTTTTTTTTCATTTTTACACACTTTGTATAACTAAATATTTGTGTATTCTTACTAGCGCCCATGCATGCATATGGACTTTCTATGCATGTATACTTATAGCATTGTTTTAAAAATAAAATTATTTCCTGTTGTTTTTATCCTGTTTTTTTTTATTGAATATAAAAGAGGTAATTGTTTATATCAGCCCAAAACGAATTCTGCTGAAGTAAATAACAACCCCCCCCCCCCCCCACTTCTTACTAATGGTTACTGGGGTACTGAATCAGTTCTGACATTCAAAATTAGTCTGTACTGTGGTTTTTTTAAAATTTGTTTTAAAAGATTACTACAGAGTATAGCCATCACGTGATTGGATGCCAAGCACAGATTCCAAAATAATTGTGAAAACTACCAGTTTGGTGTTAAAATGGAATATATATTGTATTCCAATTGATTCTTTACACTATTTATTCTTAAATGTGAATCTCATACGAACAGTTGTTAACCCTTTAAAATATTTAATATAGGAACGATGAATTTGTCTGTGCAAAATAAAGAAAAACAACTTGATTGGTTTTATTTTAAACTTAATTTTTGGATTCAGAAATGTTCAATTACCTATATAATTTCATATGAACATTGAAACATATGCAAGGTACATGTACTGGTAGTAGGGCATAGAAAAAGAAGGTGCAACAATATTAAATTTACAAGTTAGATATAAAACTGACACGCATTGTTTGACTATCAATTGAAACTGTCATAATATCCGAAATAACCAGTGATAATCGCCAAAATAAAGTACATCTGCAAATGTAAACAAACGTTGAGTTGGGCCCGTCTTGGGTCATGGATGACGCAAAAACCTGGATTTTGCACGATTTTTGGTACAAAAAATTCTGCAACATTTGTTTCCAAAGATGGATTTTAATAATTTTTTATACACACAGCATTGTTTAAAAGATACGTTATCTCTTATCTGGAATTTCCCGCACACTCTCTAGTTGAGGAATAGTGGCCAAAGTTACGATGTTGCCAAGGTCAAATTTTACCGCTCAGTGCGACTTTGACGAACGCAAGCTGGCTCTACACTACATAATTTCAATAGAAGTGTACATGAATATGAAGTCTACATACCCAACAATCATAATATCGTATTAGACTTGCTAAGTATGCATTTATTTAGAGTATATAGCTATTCTTCGACCAAGTTAAAATTTTTACAAAATTTGAGCCCGACGTTACGTCCTGGCTTGAGAAAACGACGTTATATCACTCCGCCTCGACAGTATGTGTGTGTCCTACTGTGTAGGTCCCATTCAAAACAAGATGATCCGCCAACTAGCAGATCAGCCAACTAAATAGGGCTGACCCCATTTTAAAAGTGATAGGGCTGAATCCCAAAGGTCTCACGTCCTCCACATGTGCCCTTAAACGGATTTAACCACATATCCGGGTTTAATTATTAGGCCCCTGCAGTTGTGGCGTGTGTGGGGGAAAGAAGACCGTTAAGGAATAAATGACATGGCTTTTGAAGTGGGGTAAAACATATTTAGTGGACAGATCTACTTGTCAATAGTCCCTCTATTCTATTGCTTCAATAACCAACCCACATATTGCCAACATTAAGTATCTACCTATCCAAAAGTATTGCCTCAGTATGTACTTGCCTGCTAGTAGCTATCTATATAAAGTGCACATAACTGGTACTTAGATGACCTTGAGATGTAAATGACAAGTATCTAAAACAATACTTACATTCTATTGCCACACTAATTATCCGGACAAGGTGCAATTGACTGAGTGGGTAACTGACTGACTAACTTCAACTGGGAACTGGAAGAAATAGAATATTATATAAACTCAATTGACTATTATTTAATCTAGCATTGATGCTCTTTATATCACAAACATATTCCTTTACTTTTGATAAGCTCCACATTGTTGAGAAGAAACTATGGTTACTCAAAAATTATATAGCATATAATAATAATAATAATAATAATAATAATAATAATAATATCATTATTATTATTATTATTATTATTTACAGTCTAAAATCCATATATAAAATGTTCAGTAGATTTTACAGAGGTAAAATGAACAGAATATGATCAATAGAGTCAATAATAAAAAATAGACAATTGAGATATAAACTTTAAGATATTGAAATATATGGTGCGATGTAAATAAACATATACTGTAGGTCCCATTCAAAAAAAAGATGATCTGCCAACTAGCAGATCTGCCAACTAAATAGGGCTGACCCCATTTTAAAAGTGATAGCGCTGAATCCCAAAGGTCTCACATCCTCCACATGTGCCCTTAAACGGATTTAACCATGTGTCTGGGTTTAATTATTAGGCCCCTGCAGTTGTGGCGTGTGTGGGGGAAAGAAGACCGTTAAGGAATAAATGACATGGCTTTTGAAGTGTGGTAAAACATATTTAGTGGACAGATCTACTTGTCAATAGTCCCTCTATTCTATTGCTTCAATAACCAACCCACATATTGCCAACATTAAGTATCTACCTATCCAAAAGTATTGCCTCAGTATGTACTTGCCTGCTAGTAGCTATCTATATAAAGTGCACATAACTGGTACTTAGATGATCTTGAGACGTAAATGACAAGTATCTAAAACAATACTTACATTCTATTGCCACACTAATTATCCGGACAAGGTGCAATTGACTGAGTGGGTAACTGACTGACTGAGTAACTTCAACTGGGAACTGGAAGAAATAGAATATTATATAAACTCAATTGACTATTATTTAATCTAGCATTGACACTCTTTATATCACAAACATATTCCTTTACTTTTGATCAGCTCCACATTGTTGAGAACAGGGCTCGACATTAGCGCCTGTACGCCTGTCAGGGACAGGTAAAAATTCATTTCGGACAGGTGAAGTTGCAGGGTTGCCTGTCCAATGGACAGGTCATGTTTTGTGAGAAATTTGGAGCAAAAGTCTTTAAAAAATCATTTTTTTGTTGCATACTAACGTCTTTTATTCTCTTCCTAGACGGCCTTGAAAAGAGTGACCTACTTTTGGCACAAAACACATGCAGTCGCAAAACGAAAGCTGAGTAAACTTACCGCCAAATTATGAAAGAGAACACCCTCCAGAACTTCATCAGACAAAATTTATTCACATATCTGGTTCTTTACTGAATATTTATTTAGTTCAAAATCTACGTGCTCTAGTAATAAAGACTGTTCCAAAAACAGAAACTACACAAGTACTGTACTGGGTACAAAGCCAGATTGAACTGGATGAACTGGCTATATCTAGTTCGTTGTCAAGGCAACATACTGCCTGTCAATCAAATACGTTGTATGCTATCTACTCACTATGTAAGTGAAATCTTTTGGACTGAAGATCTTGTTGAAATTTTGTTTATTTGCCAAAATATAACCTGAAATTTTGTATGATGTTTTCTTAAATGACTCTAGCATCACCTATATTATTTACAGTTAAAAAATTAGTGCTGGAATATGATAAATTAACATTGCTGTCATATAACAGTGTGATATTGATGTAAGGAAGAAATTAGTAATAACAAATATGAGAATTTAAATAAAAAGAAGGGGAACTTTTTATACTGATTTTATTTAATTCATATATTTAAAAAAAAAGTCAAACACATGATAACCCCTAAAGAAGTTAAATTGTTAACATAAATATAAGTTAAGTATTATAAAATGAATATTATGTAAATTTTCATTGAACTATATTCAAATATCATTAATTTTGAATATTTTAATAAAATTAATTTAACAGTACCCCCTCCCCACTTCCCACTCAGGGTATTTTTTTTTTAGCTGTGGTTAAACTTCATGTGAATCTATTATCAAATTGCAGATTTTCAATTAGTAGACCCTGTACCCCAAATCCTCGGAGAAGCCCTGATTGGAACTATGTTAAATCAGACTTATATGGAAGATTTAATCTTCAGGAGTTCACAAGTATGAAAAAACAACTTTTTATCTGAAAATAAATTCACTTTAAGGTGCATTTTCCCAGCTAATTTAATTGAGTATTTTGGTAATAAATACATTTAATGTATGATTACACATATTAATTTACAAAGTTCTAGGTATGAATAGAAAAAAAAAAAATTGGTTTTGTTGGACAGGTGGGTTTGAAAATCGGACAGGTCAAATTTATGACCACCTGTCCGAAGGACAGGTGCTCAAAAAAGTTAGTGTCTAGCCCTGGAGAAGAAACTATGGTTACTCAAAAAATATATAGCATATAATAATAATAATAATTATAATAATAATAATATTTATTTACAGTCTAAAATCCATATATAAAATGTTCAGTAGATTTTACAGAGGTAAAATGAACAGAATATGATCAATAGAGTTAATAATAAAAAATAGACAGTTAACATATAAAGATATTGAAATATATGGTGCAATGTAAATAAATATATACTGTAGGTCCCTTTCAAAAGAAGATGATCTGCCAACTAGCAGATCCACTGACTAAATAGGGCTGACCCCACTTTAAAAGTGATAGCTCTGAATCCTCAGGGCCACTGCCTCCATATGTGCCCTTAAACGGGTTTTATTATTAGGCCCCTGCAGTTGTGGCGTGTGGGGGCAAGAAGACCGTTAAGGAATTTAACATATTTAGTGGACAGATCTGCTTGTCAATGGTCCCTCTATTCTGTTGCTTCAATAACCAACCCACATACTGCATGCAATTTAGTATCTGCCTAGATGTTAAAGTATTGCATTTTCTACTTGAATTCTAGTACTTAGCTATCTACATCAAATGCATATTTCTGGTATTTTGATGATCGTGAGACTTACATGCTAATGATTTAAACCAAAAAATACTTACATTCTATTGCCACACTTATTATTCTGTGAAGCTTCAACTGAATTGCTTCTAACTTCAACTGTGAGCTGGAAGAAATATAATATTATATAAATTCAACCTACAATTATTCAATCTAGCATTGATGCTCTTTATATCACAAACATACTCCTTCACTTTTTATCAGCCACAATGTTGAGAAGAAACTATGGTTACTACAAGTATATTAAAATATCACCAGTAATGTTAGTACTTACTAGTACTGTAACACAGGATAAACCTTGACCCCCTTTTGGAGCAAAGAACACATGCTGTTCAACACCAGAAAACAAATGCATAATATCCTGTGAATCAATGAAGGGCAAATTTTCCCCAATAAAGAAATGTGGCATCAATTCAGAGAAGCAAGACACCATTACCATTTAATGAGATTTTTCACATAGCTATTCTTAACTTTCTTTAGTCGTGAATAGTGTTGATGCACATCTCTAAAAGTTATGCACAGTTTCAAATACTACAGAGCTTTAGGATACAGATTTGACATAAACATCTTCAGTGTCTGATGTTATGTATGTATGATCTTTTCAACTGTTGATTAGGATTTTTTGCTATATTTTTGCTCCTTAATTGTTTCCAATAGCAGTATAAATAACTCCTCTTAAATACTAACATTAAACTGAAATGTACAACTTACCAAGCTTCTTCTGTAAACCTGTGGCCTTCTTCACAATGTCTCTTGTTGCACATTTCTAGGTCACTGCATCTCATTAGTCAAATGAACTGGGGATTGTGGGAAACCTCCTGATGAGAGCTTAAAATCTTCCTAAGGGAGTTCTGGCTTTTCTGTTAACCTCTCCACCCTTAGCAAAAGTCTCTAGTTGCACATTTCTAGGTCACTGCATCTCATTAGTCAAATGAACTGGGGATTGTGGGAAACCTCTTGATGAGAGCTTATAGAATCTTCCTAACAGAGTTTTGGCTTTTCTGTTAACCTCTTCACCCACAGTATAAGTAAACAAAATAGCACTGTTGTGACATGTATTTATTTCCATTTTTGACACTTTTTTCAACATAAAATAAACAGTTTACTGCAATTTTTATATGATTAACTAAGAAAATAGATGAGATGGGAAAAATATCAACAGAACAGTGTTAAATGTCCAATTTCCTCCATTCTGAGATTCTGAATATAGTGGGTGATTGAATCTGACAAAATGCAATGATATGAGTTTACTTCCGTTTTAATACAATAACAAGTTTACCATAATTTTTACATAATCAACTAAAAATATTGTAAAGAAACAGGAAATGTCAAACAAACACTTTTACGTATCTTATTAGTTCAATAATGAGACTGTTAACATGCCTAAGAATTGAATCTGAGGGAATGTGAAAAAACAGCTTAACTTAATTCTAAAATAATGGCCCGATTATGCTGATTTTCAAATTCAATCTGCGTTTTAGTAAGATTGACCACTCCTGTGTGTATAATGACAAATGGCCTATCTGTTTTTCTTATATTGTATATATATATATATATATATATATATATATATATATAAGCTGAAAATATTTTAAAAATTAAATTTCACCAAAAAAAAAAAAACTGTTTAACTGGAAGAAAAAATTACCAAACAGCCTGCATTGCCTACTAAAGCTGTATGTTAGCCCCATGTTTCTTTCCTGTAAGTTTGAAAACAGTGAGTGACATGGTTTTTCTTAAATGGTCATCTTGGGAGCAGTGCCCAAAATAGGGGTTTCTTCAAATTTTGATGCAACATTACATAATGTTTAACAGCATAATGACCATCAATTTTTAATAATAAAATATTAGTAACATGGACATTCAGAAAATGTGACCAGCAAAAGTCTTCAGGCCAATGGAACTTCAAAGTCACACCTTGAAAATATTATGCCAAAATGTAAACAAGACAGCACTGTTCTGAAATGTTTTTTTTTTTCATTTTTAACAAGTTTTTAAACATAAAACAAAATTAACAGGTTACTGCCATTTTTATACGATCAACTAAGAAAATTGATGAGATGGGAAAAATATCAATACAACAGTGTTAAATGTCCAATTTCCTCCATTCTGAGATTCTGAACAAAGTGAATGATTGAATCTGACAAACTTCAATGATATGAGTTTGTTTCCATTTTTGAAACTTTATTACACAATACACGATAACAAGTTTACCATCAGTTTTACATAATCAACTAATAATGTTGTAAAGNAGAAGATGATTAGCGACCCCACCCAGACATGGACTCTTGGATCCGGAAGACCCAGAAGATTTTCAATTTTAATGTAATATTACACAATGCTTAACAGCAAAATAACCATCAATTTTTTAATAATAAAATAAAAGTATCATGGACATTCAAAAAATGTGACTAGCTCATATAGTTCAGAGTCACACTTTGAAAATCCCCAAATGTAAAGAAAAGAAAATGTATTGAAAAGAGTTTATGTCCATTTTCAACACCTTTTTTACATAAAACAAAATAATCAATTTACTGACATTTTTATATGATCAATTGAAAAAAATGTTGTCAAAGGAAAAAATAACAATGGAACAGATTCTTAACTTAGTGAATGATTGAATCTGACGAACTGCATAATGTGCAGGTCTACAATTTTTATATAATCAACTAACAATATTGTTAAGAAGCAGAAAATATCAAAACAACACTCTTACATATCCAATTAGTTCCATAATGAGACTATTAACATGCCTTAGAATTAAATCTAAAGAAAAAAACACTTATTTATATATAAAAAAGGCTAATAACTTTATCAAAACTTAACTGATCAAGCTTATTTTCAAACTTGATCTGTATACTAGTCAGACTGATCACTCCTGTGAGTTTCAAGACTAAAGGCTGATTGGTTTTCCTGAAAATGCGTTAGCAGTCTTGCATATATGCTGAATAAAAAAAAAAACAGCTAACTTTTGTAAAAATAGTCCGGTCAAGCTGATTTTCGAACTTGACCTGCGTATTATGAGTAGTATATTCATCAGTTTTGTAAGTTTCAAGCCAAAAGGTAAAAATGGTTTTCCACTTATCGTGTTATCGGTGCTGCATATATGCTGAAAAAAAAAAAAAAACAGAATAACTTCCCTAAAAATTGCCCGATCATGCTGACTTTCGAACTTGACCTACGTATTATGAGAATATTCATCAGTTTTGTAAGTTTCAAGCCAAAAGGTAAAATCATTTTCCACTTATCATGTTATCGTTGCTGCATATATGCTGAAAAAAGTGAAAAAAAAAAAAAAAAAAACTGCATAACTTCCCTAAAAATTGCCCGATCATGCTGATTTTCGAACTTGACCTGCGTATTATGAATATTGATCAATTCAGTGTCTGTACATAAATATGGCCTGATCATCCTGATTTTCAAACTTGGCCTGCATATTACAGTATGAATATTTAACAGTCCTGTAAGTTTCAAGGAAAAAAAAAGGGTTTTTCACTTATCGTGTTATCAGGGTTGCATATATGATCAAAAAGTGAAAAAACAGCATAACTTTTATAACAATGGCCCGATGATGCTGATTTTTAAATTTGACCTGCGTATTGTGAATATTCATCAGTTCTGTAAGTTTCAAGCCAAAAGGTAAAACGGTTTAATTTTTACTTAGATCTATATCGTGTTATCGCGGTGTTATAAAAATGCTGAAAAAAGTGAAAAAACAGCATAACTTCCCTGAAATGGCCCGATCACGCTGATTTTCGAACTTGACCTGCGTATTATGAATATTCATCAGTTCTGTAAGTTTGAAGCCAAATGGTAAAATGGTTTTCCACTTATTTGTGTTATCGGTAAAAGTGCACGCCGACGACGACATCTGTGTCTGTACATAAAAAATGTTGCCTAATTTAAATGTTAGCCAAACTGAAACTTTTGTGATGTTTTATGTAAAAATGTGCTGAAATTCAATTTACATCATGTAAACCCCGTCCTTATAATGCTTTATNTTAACAGTCCTGTAAGTTTCAAGGAAAAAAAGGGTTTTTCACTTATCGTGTTATCAGGGTTGCATATATGATTAAAAAGTGAAAAAACAGCATAACTTTTATAACAATGGCCCGATGATGCTGATTTTTAAATTTGACCTGCGTATTGTGAATATTCATCAGTTCTGTAAGTTTCAAGCCAAAAGGTAAAACGGTTTAATTTTTACTTAGATCTATATCGTGTTATCGCGGTGTTATAAAAATGCTGAAAAAAGTGAAAAAACAGCATAACTTCCATGAAATGGCCCGATCACGCTGATTTTCGAACTTGACCTGCGTATTATGAATATTCATCAGTTCTGTAAGTTTGAAGCCAAATGGTAAAATGGTTTTCCACTTATTTGTGTTATCGGTAAAAGTGCACGCCGACGGCGACATCTGTGTCTGTACATAAAAAATGTTGCTTAATTTAAATGTTAGCCAAACTGAAACTTTTGTGATGTTTTATGTAAAAATGTGCTGAAATTCAATTTACATCATGTAAACCCCGTCCTTATAATGCTTTATAATTAATACATGACCCAGCCTCAGCGTAGCCAGTGGAACAGATAGAAAAGTGACACCAGATTACAGGTCATGTGATTTTTACGTTGATCGAAAGTTCTCATGTGATCTCGTCCAATTTCAAAAATGGCGGACAGGCTGTCGAGTAGCAGTAGGTTGTTGTTGTTTCTTGCCGCTATGTTTGCGGCCCTAGTTTTAACAGACGGTATTTCATGGCCAGTTCCATACAAGTAAGTATTTAGACGTAGCGCTTACGCATCTAAAGTAATATAAATAGTAAGAGCCTGAGTCTGACTGACACTATTAGTCTAATAAGGATACCTAATCCCGTAGCCGGCGTTGGGAGGAGTGTGTGTTTGTGGGGGGAGAGAGGGGTAGTATATATACGTTAACACTTCTGTTTACGGTATCTGATATTTACTATTTGTGCACATATCAAAAGACGGAAATATTAATAAATTAACCATAGCAAAAGTATTTAATTGCCAGTTTTTGCTATTTTTCAGGAGATACAATGGACGCCCAAAGACTGACCCCTACTGTCAGGCACTCTTCCCATTCTGTCCCACTGGGCGTGGGAATGGTTCTATGCCAAAGATGCAGTCATCAGACATTATAGAAATATATGCTCTGAAAGCACCAGTGTTTGAGTTTAAATTTGGAGATCTACTTGGCAAATTTGTAAGTTTTTTGTGCCATTATTTTAGTACTAACTTCCATTCCAAAATCAATGGTTGACATTTGAAATGTTAAATACTTTAATAACCATTGCAACATTTTATGAAAGTAATTAACACATTACACTGAAGAAAAAAAAGAATATGTTCCTTATGGATTTTTCAGATCTTTTCTAATTCATTATTATTTTAAAAAAAAAACATTTCAAACTTGATGAGTTCAGAGTTAGTGCCTTAGACCCCATTCCCAGAGATTGGATCGATCCAACTAGATCGACCTAACTCCCTGGGGGTTCATGCTAAATAGGTGTCAGCCACGCAGGCACAATAGTTAATTACCCCCTTATAGCTTGTAGTAGGCGGGACGGACATTTAAGCCAGATTATCTGAAAGTAATCTAGTGAGACTCCCCACAGGGATAGATCGATCTAAAATCTATGGGAATGCGCCCTTTGAGTCAGGCATTTATACTGGCACTGTGCCACATATTTTTCTCACCAGATCTTTTGAAAAAAATAAGAAACAAAATTTTCCTCTTTGTAGAACATAATCCACGATGCCCTTGGGTTCAAGAATACCAGGACTGGCCTGAACTATACCATGGAATGGTATGAGCTGTTTGAGCTGTTTAACTGCACCTTTCCTCATGTCTTTCAAAATGATACCATGCTGTGGTGTAACCAGGGTGCAGCATGTATTTATAATGGAATTGATGACATCCACTGGTCTCAGAATGGAACTCTGGTGAAAATTGGAGAAATGACAGGTACGTTTAGGATCAGATGGACTGTATCAAGGGTTTTAACAAAGTAATGTTAAGTGGGAAGATATAGAATGAAAAACAATAATAAGCCAAATAAATAAGGTCAATTATTTTTTAAAAATCCTAATTGATATAATATTCAGGGTTGAGACTGCCATTTAGTGAAAAAGTGGGAAAATATGGCATTGTGGGTTCAGGGGGCTGCCTGGTTCCTTTTTTTTTTTTTGCTCCTAAAATGTCAGAAATCTTGATAGCTGGAAAAATCTCATCCATGAGTAATGCTTCATTCTGTCTGAAAGTAGAACACCATTATTTCAGTCATTATTTTAACAACTCACGTAATTCATTTCACAATTTTATATTTCAAAGGTGACCAGTTTTCTCATTTTTCGACATGGGCATTGGGGGACAATACATCATCCATCTACTATGAAACATGGACTGTTGAACAAGAGCCAGGTATGACATTTAAATTAATATTTAAGAAAAAAATTGGATTTGGAAATCATAAATAATGATAAAATTCCAAATTGTGCAGCAAGCACGTTTAATTAGTCACCACCAGTATGTAGCCAGTTTTCATTGTAATATACTTATAATCTCTTATCTCTGGTTTAAGATAATCAGTGTGAATAGATAGCAAAACAACAGTCAATTTACTATTATTGAATAAATAGGACCATGAATATAGCATTATCATTTTATTAATTATTGCAAAATCAGACTATCTTGAAAATCTTTGGCATGAGAAACAAACAGAAAAATTAACATTTTTTATCTTTCCTTTTGCCATTTACTTTTTTATCATTTAGGGTATAAACCAGGTACGTATAGAGAGAGATAGCACTTAACCTTCATATCAGAATGAATATGATAATGATAAATACACAGTGCACCCATCAATCAAATTAAAATGATCCCCTTTATTTCAGGTGGCAAGATGTGGTTTGAGCCCCATGACTGTGCCACCTGGGTCAAAGATGCCATAGTGGTCCTGGGCAAAGTGGGGGCAAAGTTCAACACCAGCATTCATCTCAACTACACCAAGATCCACCTGTACAGTGATGAACCACAGTACCTGGGAAACTATTCCTCTATCTTCGGACCCAATGGAAACCAGACTTTAGCCAAGGACATGCTGGCTTTTTTCAAAGATTTCCAGGCTCATCAGTCATTCTTTCACCTTCTACAGAGCATGTTTGACGCCTTTGACAGAGTTTTTGAGAAGAGGCAGTTTTATTTGTTTTACAATTTTGAGTACTGGCTCTTAAAAATGAAGGCTCCATTTTTTAAACTGGATTATACATATGTGCCTCTTCCTGGTCAAAAGAAATTCCCTTGAGTGTCGAAAATTTATGTGCTTGTCCTACAAAGGGGTATTTGTTAATAGTAAAATGCAATGTTAAACAGCTCTTGAAAGACAGCCCCAGATTGTAAGGGTAAATCGATCTCAGTTGTGATATGCAACAAACAGTTCAGGTATTTCATACAGACCGAGTGAGTGCAATGTTCAGGATTTCATTCAACATAGTTTTAAACTACATACACATTGATAGCATACTTCATAATTCACACCTGTATAATTACCTCATTTAATCATACTTTAAATCGGCATTGTTTATTTTTTCACATGTACATATTTTGTTAAATTTCAAAGATGATTAAAATATTGAATCAAATCAAAAATGTGTTATACATAAAAAGATATTTACTCTAAACAAAAAACGTCATAAAAATATAATACCACATAAAAGTTAGAATGCTATTATACATACAACGGTCTTATAATGACTATTTTAACATTTGGAGCTATGCTATATACATGCATCTCTGGCTGTTGGAATGTCAAAATATCATGTGTCAGTTTTTTCCACAGAAATTAGTGTAAAAAGATATAGATCCAAAGACTTAATCAAAGTCCTAATATGTCCGTTTTGTATTGAGATGGGGGACTTGTATAAGACAATTGTGATAACGTCAATCACAGCGCAACTTTGGGAACAAAGTATCTGGATATTGTGCCCCTGCACTCCTTTGCTTGTCTGCACAATATTTGATTTTTTTTTATAAATATCTATCTGTCCATTCAACTGGTAATCTTGTCATGGAGCAAAGGCTTGAAAACACTAATAATTTCATATTACAGTTGAAGTTCTTGATGTAAGTAAATGCACAAAAAATTCAAATGTCAAAGGGAAAAGTGCAAGCTTCCAAAGGATGAGCAAAGTCTCCATTCATCAACCTGACGAGAAGATTTTTGAGTGCACCTGTCTGAGTATACCTCACTTTGACATATTACATTATGTTCAAATAATTTGTTGCTGGGCTCTGTGTAACAACTTTATAATAGATTTAATACCACAGAGACCTCTAGATACACCCTCTGTTCAACACAACTGTTATTATCTGAATCCATCGGTCAATTGTCTATAAATAGTGGCAGCATTGTTCAGTATAGACTTGTCTTCTTCATTATTCTTAGGAATTCCTGTTCATTAATTTCTCCATCACCATCTCTGTCTGCTTCGTCTATCATTTCCTAGAAATAGACAAATGCACCCATAAAAATGCTGTATTTTAAAATGTGTTCAACTTATTATAATTAAAAAGAAAAGTGTCGTACCTTCAGGAAGTGGATGTTTGATTGCAACCCCTCATTGTATGAACCATCTGAAATCTTTAAGATTACAGCTAACCATGACATCTAAGGGTAATTGCAACTAAGTCCCCTTCCCAGTGCAGTTTAACAAACAATGGAGATAATAAAAATTTGCAAATGTTATTCACTTTATGATATGGGTAAAACAGGAGTTAATTAGCTTCTATTCTGTAAAAACCATGACAATCAAAACAATAAGATTGTACTTTTTCTGATTTATCTCCACTCAATACCTGTAATTCCTCATCTGTGAGATTCTCTCCTAGTTCTTTGGCAACCCTTTTAAGATTTTTAAATGAAATTTTTCCTGTTCCATCCTCATCAAACAACCTAAATGCTTTGAGAATTTCTTCCTTGGAGTCCTTTTCACTCATCTTTTGTGTCATCAATGTAAGGAAGTCATTAAAGTCAATAGTGCCTGCAATTCAATGAATCTTGATATTAAAAGTAAATTTAAAGGTACACTATACGCACTTAAAAATCCCACAAGTCATATTTTCTATGTCTACATGTCCTGCAAAGCCACCAATCTTGCCCAATTCAGACTTTTAAAACTATATATCCCCTCAAATTAAAGTAGCTGATCTTCAAAGTTCTTCTGAAATGTACAGGAAGACAGGGCATTCTAAATGACCGTCTATTCATTAAGAAGTAAATCATTAAATTAAAAAATTGGAAAAAAAAAAACAGTGAACCCAAGTGCAGGGACGGGCCCAGAAATGTTTTGTGAGTAGAATATTGCCTACCCCTCATTAGATCCTATTCATATTTGCCCTATCCCCATCAAAATACGTAAGCTTCATCTGTTATATCATCTGCTCTCTAAGACACTTAACAACGATACAAAACTAAAATGTAATTATTTCATATTCACTAGAAACAACCTACTCTATTTAAATTGAACTTACCAGAACCATCTTTATCAATGTCGGATATCATCTTTTTGATTTCTTCTTTCTTTGGTTCAAAGCCTAAAGCTCTCATAGCAACCTGAAATTTACATAAACCTTTCTCTTATAATTTACAACAAGTGATAAAAAGGCATCATTCTCTCTGCTTAATTAATCAAAACAGCAATTTGTTGTAAAACCAAACAGCAATTTGTTGTAAAACAATGTTATCATTTCAGATATGTATAAAAAACTACAATGTAAAAGTGTTTATAGGTAAAGATATACATAAACCTCTGGAAATAATGGTCTATTAGGCTTGTATTTTAGAATTTTGGTTGATGGAATCCTTTTAAAACCCATGACATGTATTTCCTTCTATAATTATCATTTTTGCACACCACTTAAATGTGACACACCTTGAGTTCTTTGGCATCTATGGTTCCAGACCCATCTGTATCAAACAGGTCAAAGGCTTCTCTGATTTCTTGTTTCTGTTCCTCAGTTAATTCCGCTTTGGGTCCTCCTTTCTTCCTGTTGCCACCAACCGTGGATTTCTTGTAACTTGCCTAGAGAGAAAAAACCCCACTGTTTGTCATTTATCAAAAAATAACTAATTATACTCACCAAGACCACCATATTATTATTATTATTATTAAACTAATGCAGAAGATTTTAAGCCACACTTCCTATAGACACCATCGGTCTATGTGGATGGACTGACTGCAGTGAGCTTAACTTATAACTAAATGACATGCCTCCTCCTACAGCAAAGCTTGTCATTATATGAGTACAGTATACTGGAAATAAGTGGAGTCGTGTCATTCAGTTAAGCTGATTGCTCTTAGCAAGATTCCCCACAGAGTTGGCAAATTCAAAACCAGGACAGGAGGTAGAGGATAAAAAGTTAGGACAAAACCATCCCCTTTTTTGTTGGATAACTCCACTGCTCTACTGGCACCACCTAATCATTAGAGTATCTCCAGTAAATTCAATCTGGGTAAATGAAAGACATGACATAAGCCTCAACAAAACCATCTATGATGACATACAATTGTAACACTCACATTTTTCATGGGTGCAGTCGAAAGGCTGCAAACAAACACAGCAATTTAACAAAGCACACTAATTATGTCAATTGCTAACAGATATATCACAAGTTGAAAGCATTTTAAAATAATTTTTGAAATTCGAATGTTGAATTTCAAAATTAGTTATGCTCAGTTGTTTACATTTCACACATAAAATACAAGGGGAATATCATCCCCTTAGTTAAGCACATTTTGGCAAGAACCTTGAATTAACAAGGGTACTTGTCATTTTGTCACTTCCACTGACACACACGGTTTATGCTCGGCGAATAATTATTCACGAGAGATCGACTTTGTGTTTTTCGGATTTAAAAGAGGTTGATCTTTCAGTGCTGACGGCATAGATTGATTTCTTTGAATGTATCTTTGACGTTCATTGGAACCTCCATATCTCATATCAATCTTTCACAGTTTAACACCCCAAGAGTGAGGATATTAAAGTTTGTTCTTACCATGTTCGGGTTTTTGTTGTGCTTCGAAACAAACCAACCGCTGGAAGTGCCCGGATTTTTAGCTCTGCAGTAAACGTAATTGGGGAAATATGATTGGTCTAAATTACATCGTGTGATCCAGAAATGGCAACTCGTACGAGATCGGTAGGCAAACATTTGAAAGTTTTCTGTAATATCATGTCTAATACGAAGACTTATACATTCAAAATATAAAGATGAGTGTATCTTATCAACATACTGTAATTTAAGACATGATGATACTCGTAAAGACGTGTATTCTTAAGAAATCCCACATGTTTTCACGTCGGCTGCTACTGTCAGATCCTGTCACATACAAATAAGTGCATTGTAGCCGTACGATCACCGGCAATGCCAAACACCGGTTTGCTTTAACTTACAGTATCACGATAGAATATATAAATATATATTCCTGACACGATAGAAGGACAAGGTTGTATTCCAAACCAAAGCAATCAAAATTTCAATATTTGTCTTAACTTCCAAACTTCCAAAATCCATATAAAACATATTTCCATTCCCCAGATCGTACAGTATCCCCCACCCCCATAAGTATGATTTTCATTCCAATATCTTTTCTAAACCGAGTAATTTGGCATATTTTAGCATTGTGTCTGCTTTTCAATTGAATTGGTTTGGCAGTTCCATGATGTAACTTTTCATTGTTTTTTTACAAGAAACTGCCTGGTCATTCAAATATTATTAAAATTGAGGCTATATTTGCAGTGATAAAATTTGCAGTACCAGTAATCTCTTTAGTCAAAGAACTTGGAAAGTTTATTGAAAAATAAAAGGGAAAGAATGTTAGCCAATTTTCAAACTAATTTATTTGAGTGAAGTTGATTATATTTTAAAGTCGCACACAACTTCTTTTGCTAAACAATAAAAATAAGAAAGAGTAATGGGAGAGCTAGTTTTGGAGGAAGAGTCCAATAAAGAGGATCCAGTAGGAACCTGCATCGGAAATCAACGCTAAGTAAAGCTAATAAAGTGAGAGAGAGAGAGAGAGGGGGGGATACTGCAAAAGTACCGTTTAGTCTTTGCCTATAGACTGAGCAAATGTTGTAATTCACGCATAGGGACCATGATGGAATTGTATAATAATAACAATTATTATTATTATTATAACAAACATTTTGATTTCCCACAGAAGAAGACATGCACTGTGATAGGGGGCTGTGGTTTTCTGGGCAGACACATTGCTGAGCAGCTGCTTCAGAGAGGATATGCTGTCAATGTGTTTGATATAAGAACAACATTTACTGATGACAGGATACAGTTCTTTGAGGGAAATCTCTGTCAAACAGAGGTACTTCTAGAATAGTATAAAATTTTTCTTTTAACATGTGAAGTTTTATCTGATTTTAAGAAAAAAAAAACTCCAACTGAACTGAACATTCTTTAAAAGTCTTTGTTGTTTAGTAAATGAAGAATGCTTTAAAGTTAAAAGAATAATGAAGTTTAATTTTTGCTAAGCATTTAAGTGGTAAAACTATTACCAGAATTGGAAAAAAAACTCGGTTACTCTGAGGAAAAGAATACAAGAGTGATAAAGGACTTGCATGCATGTTTTTGATATATGAAATATTAAATGATATATTTTGGAGGTACTACAGTAGTATATAGCTGTAATGATTTTGCTTAGTAATTATACAATTAATTACAATGGGTTATTATTCCAGTGTTTGCTGCCAGCTCTTGAAGGCGTTTTTGCTGTGTTCCACTGTGCCTCACCCCCATATTCTGCTGATGACAGAGAACTGTTTTACAGGGTCAATGTAGATGGTACAAAGATACTGATTGCTGCATGCAAACAGGCTGGAGTAAAGGTATGTGGAAACAAATTTCTGTTGGATTTTTAAAAATACTGCCCGTATCTGGGATTCAGCACGAAAAAAATATATATATTGTTGGCTACCATAAGTATGTTTATGGCTTTTGAATAAGAATGATGAGAACAATGATTTTTGAAGAACATTTTGTTGGAAATTTTATCAGCTCACAATTAAAAAATTTGAGAGATTAATGAAAGTAGTAACCTACTAATTACAGAGGTTGGTTTTGACAAGCAGTGCCAGTGTAGTTTATGAAGGCAAGGACATCAAAAATGGAACTGAAGAGCTGCCTTACGCTGCCAAACCTATTGACTACTACACAGAAACTAAGATATTGCAGGAGAAGGTGAGTGAATGTGTTTGTTGTGGTGAAAAAAAAAATTGTTACCAACGGGTTGTGCTGGGTGAATGTGTTAGTTGTCCCAAATGCAGTCACTTCGATTTGGAAATGCTCTGTAAATAATATTAGTGCAGTAACTGATAAGCCAGGCTTTTGCCAATATCCTTACCTGTTGTCAAGTTTTACACATGCTAAAGTAAATAAATATTTTACAATCTTTTGAGAAGGAGATCAAGAAATGAGTTGTGGTTTCTTAACATGTGCCTTTATAGTTTTTCTCTGGTCAAAGTCACTTTAACATAATATATCAATGTTAGTAGCATAACTACTAATGACATTTGACATTTATCCTTCTCATATATTTTAAAAATACATCTTTATTGTATTCATATGTACACAATACATTGTTATTAAAACATCATCTTTATAAGTTGACCTCTTATCCTTGATAAGCAGTCAGATCACTACTTTTTCATGTCGCTATAGTTGACCCTGTAACAATGTGACATCTTAATCATTAAACTTAAAACAGAATTTTTTCCCATTAATGCATGTTTTGTTATGTACTTTGGAAAATAATTCTGGCCAGGGATTACAGTCAGATTTACCAAGGGCATAAGATTGATAAATAGGCCTTAAAGATGACAGTATATGTAATGCTGTCAGTCAGGAGGCCACTGTCATTACTACACATCTTATAGCTACAGAAAACATGGTCCTTCAAGTACTTTAATTTAAGATTTAAGTGTGTCAAAGGTATTTGAAAACCATGTGAAGAGATGACATGGCATTAGAGTTTGATGCAAATGTTTGGCAGTTTGTGTCCTTCTAGGAGATCTTCAATGGTCAGACTTAAATTTATCATTATAATCTCCTTATTGGCATCTTTATTATTGGAGACTGCCCGACTAACCCTAGCACACCTTGATTAATAAAGATAATAAAAATGTTGTGAATATGAAGAAATTTACTTTCATGTGAGTAATTATTTGGTTTGTACTGCAGTCTCATATCTGAAAGTTGTTGTTGATTTAAATATAACTTCTCTAAAACAGGACATAAAAACCTGAATTTTACTTGCATTAGATTATGATTTTTACTATAATAATAATAAATCCTTAGAATTATTGAAATTCACAAAGATGAAAGTTACTTTAATCAAGGATTATGTTGGTAAAAAGTTCTGTACCTGAAAACCCCACCTTAAAATAGAAGGGCATGTTATTGTGTCTAGATGTTGTACTGATGTTACAGTTAGTGTATTTTGCCACAAACAATACACTGTTATCAATTAAAGGTGTTGCCAGAACTTTCTAGTTGTTGAGTCCATTATTTTTCTGCGACTAACAAGATTTGATGGGTTATTACTTCATTTGTACACTGATGAATTGAATTTTCTTTTTATCAAAAAACTTATCAAGTTTGCAAGTTTTTTTTTATGTTTCACTTTTAATTGTCATTTCCTTAAAAAATTAGAAAACTCTAAGCATGTTTTGACCCATGTTTTGTTAGAAGTAAAATATTTTCATTCTCTGAAATTTTGTTATCTTTATTTGGTGATAAGAACTGTAGAAGGAGGTGGATATTTTTGTACTCAGTGGGTGCCAAGTCTTTAGTTTGAATTGTTATATTTAACAATAATTGCCTAGTGTAATTGAAATGTTAATAAAGGAATCATGTCAGTATGTATGTGTCTGTGATAAGATTCTATTTTTATTCTTAAAACATTTCATTTGAGGTAGCAAGTATTTGATGAGGAAAGGTCAGTTTGTGAATTAATAGCATTAGTAACAAAACAGTTATATATACAGGGTGATATCAGGTATGATGAAAGGTAACTAGTGCACATTTTTCTTTCATCTTTACCTAAAGGGATTTTTTTTCCAGAAAGCAGTTTCTTTGAATTTTATTTAAGAGACAAAAACTTTTGTGGAAATAGATATTAAAAAAGGAATCATTGTTTTATGCATTTCTTTCAAGAAAAAGATTAGAAAAAACATATGGCATGGTCAGAGACGATTCTTTAAATTTTAGTTGAAGGCAAGAAGGTTTAAAGGATTAGAGATGGGCCTAGGGTATAGGAAGGGAGATCATGATTGATTAAATGAGGTTAAGGATTAAAATCATTTAAAAAATGTGAAATGCCTGTTTTATTTTACCACAAAATACGGAACCAAACATTCCTTCAGAGTTACGCAACTAATGGAGTAAATTACCTTTATATGGCATATTGGTTAACTGTATGACAATGTCAAAATTTTGGAGATGCTTAAGTCTTGAGGCATGCTGATTGAGTATTCAATGAATAGGAAATGATAACATTAAGCAGCTTTTCTTGACATAGGGATTAAAATGTAGTGAAATTCAAGCGCTTTTTGTTGAATCTGTAAAATTAAATAGTCTGGTCACTATTTCATCGAAGCTTAAGTTAATGATTTGGGGGTCACATGGGGGATTACAGGAACCATGACATGGCTAAATATAACTACAATTAAAGAAAAGTTTCAAGTTTATCTTGAAGACTTAATACCAGAAATGGCCTTCTGAAAGTGAACGTTTGTTCCTTATCAAGGGAAAGTTTGTACCATGATAAGCAGAGTTTGTCCGCTTGAAAGTAAGTGCGGAATAATTTTGTGCTAAACGAGGAGTCATTGAGGAGCCTGAGAAAGTCAACAGCATCTTGACCTGTGGGTTGGCTCCAGCGTGCAGTGACAGGCAGGCACCTTGCTCGTATCTCAGGCGTGTCAGGGAGGGGCCAGTTTGTTAGTGCCGATCATTTATGAATATGCAGCACTAGCTTATTTGGCATTCCTCTTACGTGTTTGCTGATGGGGAAATGCATTGGAGGTTAGGCTGCTGGTTAGGATTTGGATTTTGACAGAGTGAAAAACTCAGAAGACAGGCAGGTGAAAAACTGTGAGAAAATTAAGGAACACAGGTTCTGTAGAGGAGAAAAAGATTTTTTTCGGCCAGGTGGAGCTATGCCTACATAAAACCTAACAAAATATATTCAAAAGAGGAATATTAGTGACTTGCCAGGAAAATAGATTAAAAGCATAAATTGGAGATAGCAAAAATGCCAGCAAAAAGATTTAAAACTTTTAGTCACAAGGAAAAGTAAAACAGCAAGAAAAGAAAATGGACCCGATGTGTTTTCAAATTTTTCTCCTTTTTCTCATGGTGACAAACTTGGGCAGCACTCAAGTGTGCCCCAAAGCATGCATGTGTGTGCCGTATGCAAACGGAACGGTTGATGCTCGCTGCCATCAGGAGGGCCTGAATGGATTTCCAAAAGGACTTCCACCAAACATACGAATTTTACAAATAGTTGGTATAAATGTGACCCATGTTATTCCCAATGTGACCAGGGCAGATCTGTCACCATATAAGAACCTGGAGGAGCTGGAAATTGTGAATGCAAACGTGGAACTGGTGACAGATAATGCCTTTGCTGATTTGAAAACGTTGCGGAGATTGAAGCTGAATCACAATCGCATTACCAAACTTCACCAGGACACATTTCAGAGCCTCACTGAACTAACAGAGCTGTATATAAATGACAATCCAATCAAGGAACTGGATCCGGGAACTTTCCATAATCAAAAAAGATTGACTAAACTGCAGTTACAAAATATGACACTTAATTCCCTAGTAAATGGAATGTTTGATGGACTTGATTTACTGGAGCTTTTGAATTTAAATCATAATAACATCCAGCATATTGAGGACAAAGTTTTTGTCCCACTGAATTCTATTCAGGGCATTGATCTGTCCTTTAACCGTTTGACTAGCTTACCAAGCACTCTTGCACAAGTTGTTCCAAGACTAAGAAAAGGAATTATATTATTAGGAAATCCACTTATCTGTAACTGTGAAATTGCCTGGTTCAAACTGAATCCAGTGATATATAGGCAGTTATATAGAAACTATTGTTACATTTTGAAGTCAGGCAAATGGGTAAGAAACACAGTCCCCAGGGCAAAGCTGACTTGTTCAAAACCCGACTTTGAAAATGCCACCTGCCTCAGCAGTTATACTGTTAAAGAGGGGGGTGCCATTGACTTAGGTTGCCCCATCATTGGCGAGCCTTTCCCCGATGTCACCTGGCTCTCACCTGGGGGAAGTAAGATAATCCTTGGCCAGCCATCAAATAACACTAATTATGAAGTCAACCTAGATGGAACTTTGTCCATTGCAGCAGCATCATTGATGGAGGATGGGAAATACACTCTGTCTGCTGTGAACAGAGAAGGAAGCTTTGTTTTTAAACTGACACTTATCGTAGAAGTACAAACAACTACTAGCACCACAATTGAAGCCACCACCATGGCTGAGACGACCGAGGCATCTACTGTGGCCGAGACAACTACAGTTACGACCACAGTGATTCCAACAACCACAGAGGCAGAGACAACGACAGTGAATCCAACAACCACAGAAGCAGAGACAACCACTGTAACAACTACAGTGATTCCTACAACTGTGGTTGAAACAACAGAGCCTGCAACTACCACCGAGTTGACAACCCAGAAGTTGACAACAACAGTAGTAACTACAACACAGACTGAGGCCGTCACCACCAGGACTGTGACAACAGCACCTCCAACAACATCAGAGGTAACAACAAAGGCAACTCAACTAGCAGTTACAACTCAGCAAATGATGGAAACCCCAACAAGTACAGACCCAGGGATGACTAAGCCAGAGGTACAAAAACAAGAAACACCAGATAACACAGCAGCAGTTGTTGGGGGAGTTTTGGGTTCACTAGCAGGTGTCATAGCCATTGTAGCCAGTGTTTTATCCTACTTGAAGTTCTGCAGAAAAAGTGGAAAAGTTGGCTATGGCAATCTTGATAACAGGCGAGACTCAGTCCAATCGAATGCCTCGCAGCAAACTGAACTTGACAGCGAAAGAACAGAATCAGATAGACTCTCTCCAGACAGGTCGAGCCCAGTGAGTAGGGCCTTTTCATCGCCTAGAAATTCTATTGCCCCTTCGCCACG